AGAAACTTTAAATCTGAAGACGGACTTGCACACACGGAAGCTGGTAAAAAGTGGCATTATTAACAGAGGCGACCTCACCCTCCCTCGGCAGCATTGAGGTGTGCTGAAGGTCACTGCAGAGAAAGCTTCAGGAGACTACTCTGGCCTTAGCTGCAGCACAGGCAACAGTGAACGGATGAGTAAGGAAGCCACAGTAAGAGTAAGGATGCTCCATGAAGGTGGTGAGCAAAAGTGCCCAAAGAGCCAGTTCTCTCAGTGTTTAACATCATTTCCCGAGAGCAAGGAGAAAATCCTTAAGACTTTACTCTTTAAAATTCAGGCTACAGATTACTTACCGAGAATAAGGTTCTTCTATCTAAATGACAATATATTATGAAGACTTTGAAAACCAGTGTTACATTTTCCAGAAAAGGGGGTATGATCTGACCTTACAGGGCTGGACACATGGCTCACAGAGGTTACAGTCACCTCTTACTCTTGCTGAGAGTGCAGGTGTGGTTTCTAGCACCCACAGGGAGGCTCACAACTGTACCTCCTGCTCTAGCAGATCTGATGCCCTTTTCTGGCCTCTGTGGGTACTGCATGTGCCTGGAGAATTTACATGAAGGCAAAACGCTCAGGTAAAATAGATGTAAAGAACAAAAATTCAAAGGTCACTAGCAAGTCAGTAACACACAATGACTTAGGAAATAAACACTAAGACATTCCAGTTTTCCCAAAATCTTTTAAATCCACTAGAGAAATAGAGGAAAAGAATCAGCAGAGTAGTATATACCTATACTCCCAGCACTTGTGAAGCAGAGGCATAAGCATCTCTGTGAGTCCTAGGCCAGCACTGTCTATCTACACTGTGAGTCTTATGGCTAAGGAGACCCTGGTCAATATGCCCACCACTCTCCCAGTTCTTACGGCTTTTTAAAAAAGATTTATTTATGTGTGTGAATATACTGTCAGTCTCTCCAGCCCCTCATAACCTATTCACAATTTAATCATTCACATTTCAAATAAAACTAATAGGACATTTAATAAGCAATAAGCATCTTGTTCAGGAATATTTTTCAAATAAAACATAAGTAAAAGTTTAGACAATACAATGTTAATCAAAGCTGAATAAATTTCTTTCCCCAATATATTACACCTAACATTTCTTTTTGTGCAATTGTGTGAAGATGCATTCTTTTGTTCTGCAGAAAGGTAGAAGTTTTTATTAGCTTTTATTATTATATTCCACTTGCTCAAAAAAGCTTTCACTTTAATCTGCATCATAGGAGCTATCATTAAGTGGTAGAAGATTAAATATTTAAATTATTTCTGACATAATTATTGACATCACAAATCATCACTAGTACTTTATAACTAAACTTGCTAGCTATCAACAATACATTCAAAGGTCAATACTGTGAATATGGCTACAATTACTATAGAGACTATTTGTAGAATAACCATACTTCAGTAGGCAGAGAAATTCTCATATGAAGAACAAGATATCATTAAGTACTCACAAAAGTCCCTCCTACACTTAAAATTCCAGCCATCAATTCCCCCCATTCTTGGGTAAATCAAAGATTCCACTCTAGTTTGGGAATCTTTAAATCAAAATAAACATCTACAAATACAAAGGAGAGTTTCATGTATGAATTTCACCAGAAATTTGAATTTATTACTAATTTAAATATACTTAACCACTCCATTCAAACATTTGGGTAGCTAACTATGTACAGAAAAATAATCATAGCTTCAGTTTGTTTTGTTGTTGTTTTGGTTTGGAAAAGGGTCTTGCTATACGGATCCTTCCTGCCTCAGTCCCCAAAATACTGAAGTTACAGGTACACACAATCATACTAGGCAGTTATGGTGTTTTTAAAGAAAGTCTGACTATTTCATCAAGTCCCAAACAGAACTTACTCTACGAGAAGATCAGATTACAGGAAATTAACTCCACATTTGTTTGTGTTATATATATAAATATTATTTTCAAAAAATTTTCCAGAAAAAAAGAATAATATATTTCCCAGTCTTGCTTATCCTAGATAATTGTTTAATAGTAAAATCAGTTTACATTTGAAGACATTTTGAATAACCCTATTAAAAATCAATTTAAAGGATATAGTTCATATTTAACTCTTCAGTTACTTGGCAATTAATCTTTTTAAGTGTTTTTTTCCTTAACACAGCTGTAGTGCAAAGGGTACCTAGTAGTTGGCCTTGATTTCTATGGGTTCTCACCAACGCCCAGATTTCTTTCTTGCAAATGCTTTCTTAAATGCTATATGCCTAAGCAAGTTTGCATCACTTAAGTGCTTATTAATCCCTCCCCACTAAAAAAGCCCAAGGGAAACAGATTTTTTCTTTTAAAATTAAAAACCAACCAACACCTCCAGACCCCCCACAAAAGGGCTATACATGATAGAGATGTTCTGTATAAAACAGTTCCCTTTGAAATGTTCCTAAAAAGATCAAAACCAAACAAAAAACAACACAATGCTTCTCCCATTCCTACTATACAAATGTAGCTGCACAGAACAGAATAATTTAGTCTGGACCCATCTAGTTCAGCAACAGCAGCACTACAGAATACATCATCTTAATCTAGTGTCCTCATGTTCTAATAGTCACATCTTTCTTCTGTCCTTAGACCTTACTCATGCATGCTTGCAAGTTCACTTCCTCCACACATCCTTGCTGTTTACTCTCTCTGCATCCCTGTGATAATTATCAATTTCACACACTATCTGGCAGTTTTACTCTGTTCACACACACAGATCTCACTTTCTCAGCTTGTATTAAGCTAACACACATTCACTGCAATACTGAGTGCTCATACCTAGTAACTCTTGGGACCAGTAGAGGCCTATTATACCTTCCTGGTAACATTCTAAATTTTACCCTTGTAAATTGTAAGCTCTTGTTTGGAGGTAATAACAAAGGACACATATCATTATATTCCTGAAGAAAGAACAGTCCTCCACTTTGGGGAAGGTTCTCCTCTTTAGGGAAGGTCATCCTTTTTCCAGTGAGGATGCAGCTTCAGAGAGGACATACATGGAACCTGTCTTAGTCTGGGTTTTATTGCTGTGAAGAAACATCATGACCTCAGCAACTCTTATAAAGAAAAATATTCAACTGGGGCTGGCTTACAGTTTCAGGGGTTTAGTCCATTCTCATCATGGCAGGAAAAATGGCAGCATGTAGGTAGACATGATGCTGAAGAAATAACTGAAAGTTCTACATCTCTATCCTCAGGTAGGAGAAGGTGACTGTGAGCCACACTGGGTATAGCTTGAGCATATAGAGTCCTCAAAGGCTGTCCCCATAGTGACATACTTCTTCCAACAGGCTACATCTACCAAGAGTGCCACTCCCCATATGCCAAGTATTCAAACACATGAGTCTAATAGACATTATCCCTATGCAAACTAGCACAGAACCATTAAGGAGGATATACACACCGTCTAGCTAGAAAGAATAGCTCAATCAATCCTATCCATCTACATGGTGTCAAATGTCGTAGCCTGACAGCCCTGATACCTCCAAGGCTCTTTAATAACAGAAATTGTGTCTCATGATGAGGTATTATATTCTTCAACTCAAGCATGATGCAAAAGCACATAGCTAACATTCCTTAACTGATTTGAAGGAATGAAGTATATTGCACTGTGAGAAAAGAATACTCACAGCATGTCTATAATGGTAACAAAGAATTGAAAAGATAAAGTATTTTTAAAAAGATTTTGTTACGTACATAAATGCTCTCTCTACATGTATGTCTGCATGCCAAGAGAAGGTAATACTGATGGTTGTGAGCTACCATTTGGTTGCTGGGAATTGAACTCAGAACCTCTGGAAGAGTAGCTAGTATTCTTAATTGCTGAACCATCTCTCCAGCCCAGAAAAGATAAAAATATTTTCAAGGTCAGCAATTTATGGAGCTAGAAAGATGGCTTAGCATCTAAGAGCCTTTACTACTTCCAGGAACCAGAATTTAGTTTCTAGTACCTATATCAGGTGATTCACAATCACCTGTAACTCCAGATTAAGAGGATTCACTGGCTTTTCTAGTCTCCACAGGCACCTGCACTCCTGTCCACATTCCTACTCACAGACAGACAGATACAGATAGACACATGCACAATTAAAAATAAAATACTTAAATATCACCAGTTTAATGTTAGAAATATTTTTAAAGTATCAGCTAAAGAAATTCTATAAAACTGACGAGACACTTTAGAAATGTTTTACGGGGGGCGGGGGGGTAAGGGACAGGTCATAAATAATCAAGATGTAAGTCTCCTAGCAATACAAAATGAAACGTTTGCTGAAGCCACAAGACTGGCCACTTTACTTCAACGTTTCTAGGAAAAGAAATGTTTTCCTGGAAAATACTACCTTTTCTTTAAAGAATGTTTGCCACAAATACTTAGTTATTAAGTAACTTAAGGTTTCCTTACAAGCCATTTAGAAGAAATCTGCTAGATGAGTGAATGAAATTATCAGTACTCATAAAGTTAAAAATACACATTTGGTTAAATACATGAGATTCATCTAAATATTTTTCCCAGGTAAAATGAATTATGTCTATTTATAGTTATTTTAAGATTTTTCTATAAAAGAAAACTATAAAAAAATCTTTATGTTATTCTATGAAACACACATAAGCCCAAAGAAGTCCAGATTTATTTGATTCCAAACACCAAGTTATTTCAAACAGACAAAACATCCATTTCATCTGATAAAAAGAATCAGTCACCTCAAAGCTACTTTTGGCAAAGTCTTTAAACCTCTTCCAATCAGCCTTCAGTGTGACAGCAGTGTAGGGAGACACTTGAGTCCACCATTTGCAGGCCATTACACATGGAACCTAAGAAAGCCACCCTTGCCAGTGTTGTGGCCAAGCAGGCTTCCTTCTCTCCAACATTAAGGACACAAACAACACCTACTCCATGTACATGGTCTGTAGTTTGCTCTTTAAAAAAATCTACCCAAAAGGATATTTGTTTTACCTGTTTAATATTTCAGTGAGTTTCACAAAACCAGTATAAGCCAGTTCAAATGCTCCTCTGTGTCTGGACTGCAAAAGGTGTTGTTTAAAGTAATCTCCTATTTCTTTAACCTTTAAAAAAAAGAAAAACATTCAATTAATGCATAATTTATAGATTCATAAATATATATCAACAATGTAATTCAGAACTGATGCTTTGATATCCATTTAACATTGATTTACTATGTAACAAATCATGTTTTAACCATCTTTCTAGTTTTTTTTTTTTGAGACAGGGTCTCCGGTAGCTCTGGCTGGCCTTGAACTATGCAATCAGGAATAACCCTAAACTCTTGTTTTTCATACCTCCAGTGGGGATTACAAATTTGTGCTACCACACTTGCCTTAAGCCTTTTAAAAAATATCATCTCATTTAATATTATATGATCAATACAATGTATTTATATATTTAATATGTTATAATATTGATATATATTATCATAATAGTATTAATAAATACTATTGTTATATGTAGTCTACAATGGGAAAACTTGGGCACAGAAGCTAAGTAACTTAATCTAAGGTCACATAACAAGTAAGCAGGACAGGAAACCATGCAGTTACCCATCTTTAATTGCTACACTAGAACTTCCTTCCTATGCTAGACTTGCAAATTTCATAGTATGGTCTTTTAGTTCATGTCATTCAATGCCAACATAAAAATCACAAAACGTAGCAAACTTAAATACATGATTCTGAGATAATTATGCATATTCTTCAAATATTTTATAATTATTGTGGTAAAATATACATAAGAAATTTACCATTTCAACCATTTACAGTATATGGTTCAATGATAGAAAGTGCAGTCCCACTGCTGAGCAACTGCTAGCACTATCTGTGCAAAGAGCGTCCCATCATAAACTGAGAAGCCACATCCACTCATCTTACATCCTGGAGATACACTACGACTACAAGTGTGGCTTAGTAAAAGACATCCTGAAAGTCTATGAGGCACCTTTAAGTCAGACCATGGACTAGCCAGAATGCCACACTATCAATTCTTAACACGCTCTTTCTCTAGGTAAGATAAACACAAAGCACACTGATTAATTTTAAAGAAAACAACTGAGAATTAGTTGTGTCTGCTGTTCTGAACAAAAAGAGCTACAGAGCTAGTTAGCCCAACTGGGCTTTATGTTGCTTGGTGACAGATTTGGTGGCTGTTGACTTTAGAAAATCCAGACTATAGCAACTCTGGATGGGAGCTGTAATCAACTATCTGTTCACTGTACATCCACAGCTCACAGTATGGTGAACAGGAAAGCTGTCCCCACAGTGTCTCAGATCTACTTACCCAGAAACTTGTTCTCCTCAGCAGTGACTGGGTTAGTGTTCTGCATACATCAAGACATATCAGAGTAAGCAGTCTCATTTTCTTCTTCTGGATGCTAAGGGTACTAATGGCACTAGCCTCATAGGTGATTGTGTTTAAATGAGTTAAATACTCAGTTCAGGACAGATCAATTATCTATAACCTAATTTAGTTCAATATGAGCTGTCTGTTCTAAAGAGAGGGTGTCTGTTATGAAGAGTGTGCTCAGTGTATATCTGTTATAAAGAGTGATACACGCAGAGAGAGAATCAGAGACCAACAAAGCAGTACTTGATAAATTTTTAAAAACTATTTCAGAATAATAAGCTATGTCCTTCAGCTAAAGCTTATTTTTTTTTGTCAAAGCATCATTTCTATCATTATAAAAGTAAGAGGTTATTAAGAAGGCATTTCAGAACAGAGGAAATAAAGACAAAAAAAATAGCCTTTTCCCTAAAATGGGACACAGATATTGTTAACATACTTCAATAAAAACAAATGGTGTTCACAAAGGGTTTCTCTGAGGACTTGCAGAAGCCCACTATCTTATCCTTAAGCAGACATCACTTTTCCATTGCTTCTTTATGCTAACTCCCTTCAAAAGATATAAATAAAACAGCATTAATAAAGCTAAAGCATTCACAAGTTTGCCTGGTGGTTGGTCTTCTACAATAGACCCTCAACCCTAGGTAATCCTGACCATAGGAATCACAGCAATACTCAAAGGACAAGAGTGATATGTAGACAATTTTTCTTCATATTTAACCCCCAAACAAATGTGAACTTTTGCCCTTGCTGACTATATAAAATTATTGTCAAGTATTTTTTGACATCTTGTCCAATGCTTTGCCACTTACTGCTGGAGAAGATGAAGAAGCTGAAAAGAAGACGTGACTTCTGTAGGCTTTCAGTAGAGAAAATTAATATGCTGGGTAGTAATGATAGCTGCACTAAGATTAGAATAGAGTTCATGCTCACATCTCACACAGGGTCTACATGCTTAGGTAGAACAAAAGACAAGGGAGCAATTAGTATATGAGGCTACAATAAACAAATAAACATTAACTAAGTAGCTGCTATCGATCAGACACTTTGCTGGGTCCAGATCTAACCTACATAGGCTAAGGTTGGCAGACCCAGATGAATGACTTAGAGACTTTATACTAGACAACAGTGAAAGCTGGGCATGACAAGAGGGGTGAACCCAGTTCCTAAAGGTGGTAAACTGAGCAGAATAATGGGCCCTGTGAGCAAGCAGTTAGACAGAAGTACCCTGCTGACACCCTCTCAGTAGATAACCAGACTACAAAGAACAGAGGTGACATATAGCATCAGAAAGCAGGTAACAATGGTAAGAAATGATCAGAAATAGAATTAAAAAAAAAAAAAAGTATCAAATTTCTTCATTTGTGTGTATATGTGTGTGGGGTGCCTATGAAGGTCAGACTGTGGGGTCCATTCTCTCCTTCCACTACATGAGTCCCAGGGATCAACCTCAGCAGAAAGCACAGAGCCCAAAACACCTCAATTTAATTTTTAAAATGAAAAGGTCATCTAAAATTATTTCATTAGAAACTGAGTTTCTGAAGGTCAGAAAGTTTTCTTTTTCAGATGGTGGTTTTTTTTCTCTAAGTAAACTTTTAACGTAAGAAATAAATTCTCCCAGGCTATTTTATTATAATATTTGATTGAGCCAGGATCTCATTCTACAGTTCAGGCTGGCTTGAAACTCACTACATAGCCAAGGCTGGCCTTGAGTCTCCAACAATCCTCCTGCCTCAGCCTCCAAGTACTAGGATTTACAGGCACAAGCTAGCACACACAGGTCTCAGGTACTTTGAAGGAAACCAAGGCTAAAGTGGAAAAAAAAAAAAAAGATACTGATTTCTAATCTTAAAATTAGACATGACACTGCCCTTTAAATTTAACATATCCTACTTCTGACTTTTTATAAAACTCTAAAGCAGATTAGCAATGTTTTACAGATTTATAGGTCATAAGTCCAAAGGGGAACAACGACTTGCCATGTCTCCAGGCGTCTAGCTTACCATCAGATAAATTAGCAGTCTATAAATATCTACGTTTAGTTTGACACTATACTATAAAATAGTAACCCTTAATTTAAATTCTGAGTTTAAAACAGAGCCATTTCTTATACTATCTGCAACTGGAAGACTCTAATTCCATTTTGTTTACATGGGATACTCCACAGAACTTTAAACCCTAATAAAATAACTATGTTTAAAACCAATGCTTCTCCATTATAATGATTTCTTGCTAACAATGAGACTTTCTTCAAAATCTAAACATTGTTCCTCTATATCATTATAAACATTTTCTGGTGTGTAGCCACTGTCTTACCAGAAAGTTTATTTTTCTCATTCTGGCAATTTTCAACATATACCATTGTAACAGTTACCCTTCAGGCCTGAGTTTTCCAAGTGAAATCACTGCTTTGTTTCATTAGGGTATAACTCAGCTCTTTGAGATCAGAAACCACATATGAGTCTCCTTGATGTTCCCACAACAGCCATGTAGTAAGGCAGTCAATACACAGGAGACTAAATGATGTGGTCTCATCTAAAGCTTAAAAGTTAAAACTTCTACTCATGATAGTTCAATATAATTTCTAAAATCTAAATATAAAAAAATAAAACTGGAAATTCACTTGTGACTTATGAATACTAATGAGTGAAAATTCCATTTGTAATCAATCCATCACAAAAAACATTTTAAATAATGACACAACAGAGTAAATGCACCAGCCAATCAGGACCACTGATCACTCAAGCATCAATAGAATCTAAAGCAGAAGTTATCTTCTAGTTGGGAAAGTTTACTCACATGGTTTCTGTGGGAACAATTACTAGAGAGTGTGAGGTAAGCAAGTTTGAAAACTTACCCAAAAGCCTGTTTTAAAAAATATTAGGTGAACTCTATAAAGGAATTGATATTCAACACAGAAGCTGCTTTAAAAATCAGTAGGCATTTAAAGATCAGTATCAGCCATCACACTGGAAAGAGGGCCAACAAAATATCAAGCAAAAGTCTATCAGCAAAGCATCTAGCTAGAAACCCAGACACATCCCCGTGAGTCAGGAAACAGTGAGCTAAGCTTGTGTGCACTGCTCATTCTTGAAGAGTCTCAGCTTACAGCCCTCAAAGCGGCTTTATCTCTGCCACCAGTACAGGACACTATAAAAGAACCTTTCATTGTGTGATTACAGAGCAGGAGGACAGTCAGACATGCCACCAGGTGAACAATTTCCTCTTGAAGAAGCTGAGGAGAACATACTGCTTCACAAGAAATGCTCTACAGGAAGGATCAGGTACTTTAAAACTCCAGTAGAAAGTTATCTTTCATTGGTCTTTCATTCCTTGAGAAAACTGGCTTGGGTAATGGAAAGGGGTTAAATCAACTTAAAGAAAGCCTAAATGAGCCACTCAGAACAAAGAGAGCACTGTGCCACGTGAATCCATGAGGTTCCTGTCTGAGGGAGGCCAGAAATTAGCTTTGTGATCTTTGTCAGGTAATGAATCCATTTCCTCATATCTAAGGGAGCTGAGGAGTATCACAGCAATGTTTCTTCAATGAACCAAGCACTGAAAAATCAGAATTAAAAACAAGTATCAGCTGTCCTCTCCATATAGCAACAAAGTCTCCAAATTGTCATCCTGCCTCCTGTCAGTCACTGTAAATAATACTCATGTGTGTGCTATTTGAGTGGCCAGCCCTTAATAAAGGCCAGAAAATCAGGATGATCTGGGTGAGAAAAATAACAGTACCTACAGAACTAAAGAGTAAAAGGTGAGAGAAGAGACTCAGACTGACTGTCAGTGTTTTAGCTTTACAAAGGAAAGTCTGCTAGGTTTACACTCACCTGAGTGGTGAACATTCAGATTGGTGGGTTTTGTCAGCACGTACAGCAAATATAGCTTTGACAGGCGACTATGTCCTTGGAAGTATGGATTTACCTTAAGTACAACCAGTCACCCTGATACAAACTAATGTTATCTGTCATTTCTATTTTTAATTCTGGAAAGTATTAAGTATATGGGACTACTTTTTATTTATAGAAGCAGAATTTAGAACTTGCTGTGGTTCAAGTACTTGGAAGGCCAGCCTGGGCTACATAATAAGACCTGTCTCAAAAGTAAATAGGATGAACAGCTAGACAAGCAGTTAAGAGCACTTGCTGCTCTTGTAAGAGGACCCAAGGGTTCAGTTCCCAGTTATCTACATGGTGGCTCACAACCATCTGGAATTCCAGCTTCAGGGGATTTGATGCCCTCTTCTGGCCTCCACAGGCACTGAGCACACTTTTGATGCATATCTATATGCAAGCAAACACCCATAAAACAAACAAACCTGATATATTTACATTAAAAAAATTTTTTTAAAGAAACAATTTTATGTTTAGAAAAGCAGAAATTCTATAGTAATGTAAATGACATTACTTTTTGGATGACAGGATTTTCATGGATTAAATGTTCCTAGGCTAAGATATTAGTTTAAAAGTCAACAAAACCAAGAATAAAGTTTTCCACAGAGAACAGTTTCTGTTAGCACACAGCAATTACATATACCCCACCCTTCCTCTAGCTTGTAACGTCTTCTCATTCTGCTACATATGAGCCTACCATGTAAAAAGCACACTGGAAGACTGGGCAGCTCACCGGACAGTGATGCTTTTGTTAGTGGGCAGGAGTCTGTTCACTGATGCAGTCACTGAAGAATTCTTTAGTTTATAAGTCTGTCTATTTGCTATTTTTAGTTTCTTTGCTATTAGTTCTCAATGTTGACATGGCTGCTCCACACAATTCCATTACAGTATAGAGCCTTCGGGTGCAGTGGGGAGGGAGCCAAGGCGGGCTAACTCTCCTAGAGAACTCTCCGCCTTTCTCATTTACAAGAAAAAGCAAAATGTGTTTCCTTTCATTTGTCCTTGAAAAGACAAGTTGGCAAGTCAAAGGATTTAGCATGTGTTTACTTCATAACAAGACAGATTCACACCAGTGAAATAGCTGATCCTAACTGGATTCCTCAGCCAGAAGCAGGCACTGGCACTTCTGGCAGTTTGAGTAATGGCTCTAAGTAACGCTGGGACACTAAGGCCTATTTGATCTGGAAGAGACTGAGGAACACGCCGCCCACAATGTGCTGCTTCCCTTGCCCTGTGCTTTTTTTCCAAGGCCTTGCAACATCACTGGCCCAGCTGTTAGCCAGATGTAAGACATGAGCCAGAGTGTGAGAATAAAAATATTAGCGTTATTTCCATGGTGCTAGTCATGTGGTTATTATAGGGATAATCAGCATTAGTATACTACAGTATTTGTTTTGTCCTTGAATGTTGTAATACCCTACAGGGAGGAAATTATCTTTATTTAAAAAGGTTAAAAATGAAAGTACATACTATACATCTCTGTGAGGAAACTGTGGGAAATGGACTTGTTGAAACCATATGGAAAAGAAGAAGGAATCAATTAAAAACAGAAATCTAATAAATCTAAAATATTTCCAAATGAAATGCTTGTGGTAAGCTAATTTCTTGTAAACACTGCACTCGATCCCTTGAACAGTCCCAGATGCCGAGCTAACTTTGTGGTCTTAAATGAAAGTCAGCCAACAACACTAAAGTGACTACAACTTTATTACTGAAGTAGTGGGAAACATGAGAGCCATGATCAGCTAATGTTACTTTTTATTTCTTTGAAATTTTTAAGAGACCTGTGGAGTCTTACAAAATAGACAATTTCAGCTAAAATTCAAGTTTATGTATGTTAAAAAAAAGAAATAAAAAATCAAATAATATTATAATCAAAAAATGAGGTAAATTTATAGTTACTGATGCAAAATATTTCTTAAAATAATGTATTTTAAAAATAAAATCTACTATCCTAAAATCTTCATAAACCTTTTTCAGTTGGCATCTGTAAAATATTTGAGGTCCAAACCTTTTTTTTAAAGCTAGTCCTACAAATAACAGCTTATGCCTTGGCCACAAATGACACCTGGAAGTTTAACGATCCACCTTACCTGCTGCACGGTTAATACCCCATTAGAAGACTCTGGCACGGGCTGCACAGGGAGAAGCTGGCAGAGCGTGCCGAGGAGTAAAGCCACTTCCTTCATGCTCCTCCAGCAGCACGCGAGGACCATCTGAGCAGTTACGTCACACGCTTTTTCTTCTTTTCCTTAAGGAATAAGACAAAAGCTATTGTGCCGGGCTTTTTAAGCATGTCAATGCATCATTTCCCCAATACTGATCTGTTAGAACAAAAAATCTGTCATATGTTCTGTTTATTCAGAGACATTTGTAGAGCACATGCTATTGACCAGGAAGCATGTTGGTTTCTTAACTTGTTACTTTCCAAAAAAAAAAAAAAGAAATTAAAATGAAACACAGTACTGCCTCAAAACTTAGGGACTAATATTTGAATGTTAATGAAACAAATTTTCCAACTCTGTTACCCATAAGAATTACATGGCTGGCTATAAAAGAAAGTACTTCTTGATTACTTTGGTGAGAATGGCTGTTTTATCAGTTGAGGAGTGGAGAAAACTTCTGTTGTTTCTAGTTTTGCTTTTTTAGACACAGGGTCACCTCATGTAGCCCAGACTACCTTAAATTCATTCACGACCCTCTTCACCTAGCCTCCTGGGCGTCAGGACTACAGCATGTGTCTCCAGAATTAGCTGAGGGGACTTTTTTCTCTGTTTCTGACTATTTTGTTTTACTTCCTTTATGTAATGTAGGCGAGAGTGTATAGCACATGTGTGAGAGCACTGCTGAGCTGGCCACTGAGAGCCACCTGACATGGGTGCTGGATGGAAACTAAGCCCAGATTCTACTCTTAACCACTTAGTTGTTTCTCCAGAGCCTGAGACAGAACTTTTAATCAATCTTCCCTTCTTTTTTTTTTTAATGCACATTTAAAAGCAAGTTTTCCTTGCTTGTATATCTGTGCACATGTGTGACTAATACTCACAGAGGCAAAAGGAAGGCACTAGACCCCCTGGAACTAGTTACAGACAGTTGTGAGCTGGTATGTGGGAACAGTCAGTGCTTTTTAACTGCTGACCTGTCTTTAGCTCCAACACAGAACTCTTAAAATTAAACTCAGAAAATACCAATTATCTTTCAAAATATATTTAAATAACATGGCAAATAAACTAAATGTACTCCTACCTATTCTCTTATCTGGCTTTAGGTGTATTTTAGTACTGATATTTACAAAGTTCTATTAAGGTGAAAAAGGGAGTTAACAAAAGTTTATTCTATCTTACTTGCTTTTATTCGAAAAGTTTACTAAGCTAAATGTACTTACAGATAATACACAACATGCACAAAACGGCTTATACACAGAAAGGGGGTGGGATAGGTAGAACTGGGGAGGAAATGGAACATGACTTCATTTTAAATTCATATTTCACTGTTACAGTGAAAACATATTTTTTGTAATTTAAAAAATACAATTGCAAAGAGAATTTTTTGCAAGACAATAACCCCACCTAGTGGAGAACATAGCCACAGGATAAATCATTAAGAAATTAATTCTAGTGATGAATTTGTTCAGTAACAACTGATAAAGCAAGTCATGCAGACTGGAATTCTAGAGGCTTGGTTGTAGTGAGAATTTTGGTTTCTTTAAGAACCCAGTTGTATTATGTTTTTGTTTTAATCCCAGGTGTGGAATATGGAGCTACTTCAGATTGTCCACAGCAGCTAACTATGATTTGTCTCATGCTCTGTGGCAGGGGTGTGGTTTTGCCAGCTGATGGTAGTTTATATTTGGAATTCTGGGGATGAGAGGGAGGTGGCTACTGCTCCCCATGCTGCTGCTGGTGCTTCCTGATGCTGATTTTGCTGGTTGTTGGATTGCTGGTTGGACATACTCTGATTATGAAGACTAGACTTGCCCCTAGGAACTCAATATGCCCTATCCATCAGGAAGCGGTCTAAAGAGATCCATGCCCCTTCCCCTCTAAGCTTCTCTCTTCTACCAGTGTTGGGAGTGGAAGGGGTTGGGGAGAAGAAGGATGATAGATATAAGAACCCAATAAAGTAGCCCAAAAGTACAGTTATGCTTGGTGTAACACAGAAGCACACAGTCTGCTTATGAATCAGGTTTAATTTAAAAGAATGCTCACATCAAGCATTTCCCAGCAGACACCAGTGAGCAATGAAGCAGGGAGATGGTAACGCTGCCCAATCAATCATCATGTGTCCGTGATCTTCCACTAGCTGGGCTGGTAAAGGGTCTTATGCTCAAAAGCTTTGTGTTGTAACATCATCTGTGCTGAAGTAAGGCACACAATTTTCTTAAGGCTCTTATAAATTCATTCCAAAACCCAAATTAAAAAGGAAAAAACTTAGCCGGGCAGTGGTGGCGCACGCCTTTAATCCCAGCATTTGGGAGGCAGAGGCAGGCGGATTTCTGAGTTTTAGGCCACCCTGATCTACAGAATGAGTTCCAGGACAGCCAGGGCTACACAGAGAAACCCTGTCTCGAAGAACCAAAAAAAAAAAAACAAAAAAAAACCAAAAACTTTGTTTTCCAGAAATGTTATGCAAATCTGCAGTCTCTTATATTATCACAGGAGCTTTGTGAGGCTGGAATGATGGCTTAGCAGTTAAGAGTGCATGCTACTCTTACCCAAGTCAAATCTCAGGTATCCACATCAGGCAACTCACAACTGCCTGTAACTTCAGCTCTAGAAGGTTCTGATACCTCTGGCCTCTATAGATGCCTGCACTTAGGTGTGTACACATACACATAATCTAAAATAAAATAAGTTTTAAAAAAGAAATCCTGAAATACTGAAATACTTGTGGTTGGCTGGTGTATAGTGGTATAGGCTCATTAGTACAACCCTAGCATAGTATGTCTTACAAAGCCCCAGTACCACACACACACACACCACTGATTACAATATAGGTTTCATATATCTTACCCTTAATTTCTGCAGAACTATCAATATTTGAGACACTGGTACTCAAGTCCTCCAAATCAAAGCTATCACATTCTTTCAGTATTTTGGCTTGGTTGAAGTAATCATTAGTATCCCGTGGCTGAATCTCATTGAGAATGACTTGCAAGCGGCTTGCTGACTCTGAATAAAAGGTAAATGTGCATGAATGCCCAGTTCCACGTCATGCGCAGATTTCCTCAGACTAACTTACAGTTGCCGTAATTTTCAACAGTGACAATCAGCTGTACTCACAAGATGGATAATGTGAAAGTTACTTACACATGGTCATCATGATATTAGTATGTACTCTTACAATATGAGAGTTTACACTGAAGACGTGACCAAAACAAAGCTCAAACATCCACCGCTCAAAGGCTGCCATCACTGTTTTCCAGTAATCTAGACACTCAGGTACAATGCTTAGTCATGTGGCAGAACAGCAGAGCCTAGCTCACCACAAGAGACCATTGAAAGATAAAAGTGTTATTTTATATATAGTCAATGCCACAAAATCTTTTGTAATATAGGCATATAAAGAGTTCATATTTAGTTTAGAAAAGTAAAAGACACAGCCTTCACAGCATGGTGCCCAGTGCTAATGTTTTGTGGAGTGTCTTCTTTATTTGCCAGGCACTCACTAGAAAAGAATAAACTACAGGACAGCGGCTCTTTGCTCACTGCTGCATCACCAGGGCCTAGAACAAACTTGGCTCCACAGAGATTCAAGAAACTGGGCTGAAGGAATGAGGTGACGGATGGGGAGTAAGTCATCCGAGTTCTAGTCTTTACGAAGTACCAACAGGTCATACAAATGAACACAAAAATCTAAGAGGAGGTGTAAGATGGCATACATCTATTCAGGCATTGTGGGAAATACACAGGCTCTAACTCTGTCTGTGGGCACTGAACCAATATCTTGTGCTTGTTTGTTGCTTCCTTGAAATTTTGCCAAAAAAGAAAATTTTAACAGCCAGGAAAAAAATACTGCTAACCCCTTGCCACCACCTCCCCACAAAGGCCATGAAAAGAGTACAAAAAAAGAAAGAGAAACAACCAGAACAGAATTTTAAGAATCTTATCATCTATCTGTGGCTCGCAGGGAAGACCCTTTACTAGGGGGTTCGGAATTATGGCCCATAAAACAGAGAAGGGTCAAGAAAAAAAATATAAAGACTAAGAAAAAAAAGAAAAGACTGAATTTAGGAAAAGCCTGTGAAATAAATATAGTGTCTGAGACCAACTTCTTTAAACTTAAAATTTTTATTTTAACTTTTTCATGGAATGCATTTTGATCATATTCTTCCCTTCTCTCAAATCTGTCCAGATCACCATCTGCATAATAATACAATAAATACAACACAAATAATAATATCAAAACCTCTCATGCATGTTCTACAAACTTCATCTACATTAGGAAACTGAAACACCCAAGACCACTCATTCAGAATCTACCAGTTCTTGCCTAAGCCAACTCTAGCAAGAAGCCTGCCTGTATGTTCCTTATTCCTTAGACCTAGGTATGAAGTAGGAAAACTAAAGAATGAAAATTTGGTATATAGAATAATATGGACCAAAATAATTAACTCTGTCTTAGTATCACAATCATCCCTGATTTTCATCACAAGACAGGAAAACAGAATGATGATGTGCTGATGCTTCGTTCCATGTAAAGTTAGGTCCATGAAGGCCAGCTCTTGAGAAGAGCATTAGGAGACAGGCTAGACAGTGAGAGTGCCAAACCACTCCAGAACACAGTGAGAGGGCACTAAAGTATCAAAGTGGGACAGAATGAAAGGTTAAAGACTATGTGTCACTCAAATGATAAGCTATATGACTAGGAAAACTTAATTTAAACATTATTAAAATCCATACAGAAATCCATACAGAAGGATCTAGAATAATTTAAGAAAACTGAAAATTCTCACCTAAAGATGGTAAGATACAAAGGAAAAGGGAAGAGATGCAGGAGTTCTTAAGAGCAAATGGAAATGCACTGGGCACATGAAGGGATTGCCAATCAATCCTAAAGCCTCCACTTGCAGGCAGATCCCCGGCAAAGAGGCAGGGCGTGGGAGGGAAGAGGCAGATGAAACGTCCTCAGTTCAATTCTGGATAATTATTTCATTCCCTTTATCCCCATCCACTGGTCTTTGTCTGTTTCACAGCCCCAGCAAGCTGAGTTCTCTGACCACCCCATAAGCAGCCCACCTCACAGGTCTGTACACCTGCTCTCAAAACAGTACCTAAATTCTGCATATCCCACTCATTACCTGGCTCTCTGGAGCTTGGGTCATTTTATATACACAGTGTTTGTAAATCTTTTTTTAATCCAATAGATACTGGTTGTCCATAATGAGTCTACCAGTGTATGTATAATGTTATAGCATACTTTGATCATATTCACCTTACATTATCCACTCTTGTCCTCCTCACTCTTATTGATCCCCTTCTTTATCCCAACTAGTCCCTCACCTATTTTCCTGTCTCCCTCTCTGTTTCCTTTAGACTGACTCAATGGATTACACTAAGTTTGCTTATAGGAGGATGAATGAGTTTGTTTACAGAAACAAGGACACCACCACTGAGCAAAATGCCTCTCCTGCTGTGGACTATTTTTTAATAGTTACAAAGATTTCAAAAAATGAGAAATAGCATGAAAAAAAGATTCTTCCCTGAATTTAGTTTCTGTATCTCTCCAAAGAAATAAGAAGGAAAGAGATGGAGACAGAACCGCATTGACCCTTGCCTGCTAACCTGAGTCAGTGTCCATTGGGATGAGGCCTTCAGGGGAGGAGCTTTGGATGACAGGAGACACCACAGTGGAGAGCCTGTAGGACAGCAGCAGCAGCTTCCCCAGCACTGGCCTCCACTCGCTCACGAGCTGTAGGTTCCTGCAGCAAACACAGTGGAGACATTTACACTAAAAGCAAAAAACTCATTTGAAAAGGAAAATTAACACAAAGAAGGACCTGAAGGAATTTGTGCTCAAAACTGTGTTGTATATGAAATGTTAAGAACATAAAAGCATGAATATATGAGTATATAATTAAATCTAATTTTCAATTCTTTTGAAGGCAATGTACTGTTCTTTTTCTAAGACACACTCAGTAAGAAGCTAAGGTAGGTCATAAGTGTATTTCTCAAACAAGATAGAGCTGCGGACAGTCTTACTTTAGAGGAAGCTTCTGAAAAGCTCTTGTTATACAGTGGACTCTCCCGTACATTGGAAATGAAGACGCAGCCTGAAGCAGAGAGTTCTCAGCTTGAGATATTTCATCCTCAAGGTTTCCCATCAAGCATTTAATAACTAAAAGAAGCAAGCAGGAAAATGAAATAGCCTCAGTTATAAAACACATTTATAATTCATATATAGAAAAATAATATACTCAACTCAACTAAAAGTTATATTAGAGGGTGTGTGTGTGTGTGTGTGTGTGTGTGTGTGTATGTGTGTAAAATAAGGTGGATAAGTGACTGAGGAAAATGCTGAACATCAAAGTAACTGAGCTCTGTACAAATACAATGAGGATGATCATCTACCTGTGGCCATAGGAAAAAGGGCACTTTGAGCTGACAGAGAAAGCAGTCGCCCTTCTAGACAACATGTCTCGTTGATGCACATTTGTGCACTTATTCAGCATTAAGTCTTCTGTTCTGAAGTAGGTCAGTCAGGCAGTGCTGGCACACACCTTTAATCCCAGCACTGAGGAGGCAGAAGCAGGTGGATTTCCAAGTTTGAAGCAGCCTGGACTACAAAGCTAGTTGCAGAACAGCCAGGGCTACTCAGAGAAATCCTGTCTCAAAAATAGAGAGAGAGAGGAGAGGAGAGGAGGAGAGAGGAGGGGAGAGGGGGAGAGGGAGGAGAAGGAGAGGGAGAGGGAGGGGGAGAGGGAGAGGGAGAGGGAGAGGGAGAGAGAGAACACAAGAGAGAGACAGACAGACAGACAGATGGATGGACGGACGTTAAAGATGAGTAAACTATTAATTTGTATGAATGATACAAATGTTCTCTTATGTGCTGGTAAACTCTTAAAATAAAAACAAGTAACTAATAAGCCATTGGGTGCTAACCAAATAGAAAATGAAATAGAGGGTTTGGAAAGTTACAGCCAAAGGTTATTTTCTCAATACAAACCCACTAATGTGTTCCTTTCCACCACAGCAGACTTCTCTCCAGCTCCACGTGTAAGCTGTTGTGCTGAAGAGGCAGACAGGGAGGCCGGTAGAGCATCTTGCCATATCAGCAAGTTCAGCAGGTAGGAGGCTGTCACACAGTCATAAGGTTTGGTGCTGGTGCTAAGCTCCAGCGCTGCCTGGAACAGGTCTTGCAGTTTCTCAGAATCCTAGAGATGAGCACAGTCTTGGTCACCATGGCAGAAAGCACTTTGAAGGAACCATGTGTTTAAACTCATGCCCATCGTCTGGCTGAGACTCAATTGAACAGTAAAGAATGCCCATGGCCTTCTTTTCCCTATGAACATAAGCTACTTTTGTTATAGTACTTGGTGATGATCACTGATCACTTCAGAGATGAAGACCTTTAACATAATTTCAAATGGGAAACGCAACAGGCAGATTTTCCCTGTGAATGTGCTGCGCCTCCAAGCAAAAACACCTTCACCATGTCTACAGAGCACAAGTTAGTCAGCTCTGTTTCCCTCAGTTTCTGTTGTATCTGAGCACCACATCCTTATCCTTTCTCTTTTCCCTTCCATAGAACCGGCTGCTTGAATGACAGAGCCATAATATGGCTCCTCACGGTAAAACTCCATACATGAGTGGAGAACAGAGGACCAGATAGGATTCAGAAATCTGGCATCTAAACTCCTACACCTGTGTTACAAGTAAAAACACAGAACAAGGGAAAGCTCACTGTAACAGCTAGGGAAAGGCACTGGATTGGCAACAGAAGAAATGGATCCCAGTCCCAATCCCACAACTGACAAGCCACTACTCTGGACATCGGTGTTTAGTTGATCAATAATATTATGATTCTTTTTCAATTGTTCCATCACTATCTAATGGGAGGGTCTAAAAACTTATCTTTTTTTTTTTTTTTTTTTTTGACACAGGGTTTCTCTGTGTAGCCCTGGCTGTCCTGGAACTCACTCTGTAGCCCAGGCTGGCCTCGAACTCAGAAATCCGCCTGCCTCTGCCTCCCAAGTGCTGGGATTAAAGGCGTGTACCACCACCGCCCGGCTAAAAAAATCTCTTAATTTGATTATTAGTACAATCACATTTAATGATGACTAACAATTTCAAAACAGTAGATAGCAAATGTACTGATTTCAATGTCAGTTTATTTCTATCTAAATTTTTTTCTTCTTGATGTTAGAGTAAATCTTAAACTACACTACCTATAAATCAGTAAGAAACAAAGTAAATAACCTTAAAACTGAGAACACTTTTATTCCACTTAGATCAAAATACAATGAACCCTAGATATGGTACCGTGCTTAACAACTGTAGCCTACGTGGGGGAAGAAGAATCAACTAACACAATTTGTCCTTTGACCTACACACAGACACACACATATACATAGACAGTGTCACACACGAACAAATACATGAAAACGTAATTCAAAAACCTAAAAGATTACGGTACCATTAAGATACAGATTTGTAGTTTCACAGAAAGATGGAAGTAAACCAGATGAAAGGTAAGGACAACAAAAAGACACACCATCACGTACATGTATTATATACAGGGTATTAAGCTGTTGTTTAAGGTACTGTTCAAAAATTATGGAAATACATAGTCAATATCGTAAGGCCTTTTTTAAGTAGGAGGTGATCAATTCTTTTATTTTAATTACATTTATTTATTTGGGGAGTAGGGAGCTGAAAGAGACTTGCACAGACTATAGTACACACATGGAGGTCAAAGGAAAACTAAAAGAACTGTTTCTCTCCCTCTATCATGTAGAGTTCAGAGACAAAACCCAGGACACAAGGCTTCTGACAAGCACTTTTACCTACTGAACCATCTTGCCTGCCCTATTTTCAAGTCTTAAATGTTTATGTCAACCATTTTACTAACATGCAACAAGACCAATACTATGACCAAAATCTTAACATAAACCACATGAGACAAAATTTCTTATAATTCTACAGTATCTCTGTGGCAAGCACATGTTTATGGAATTAAAGGTGCAGAAGGCCTCTCCAGGCCCCACACAAGTTCTGTAAGAAGTGGGCTTCTCAGTAATTTACCTTCTCACTGCAGAGCCTCTCAAAAACAATTTGAATAATCAATGAGACATAGCTAATCTATACAATAAAAGGTTGCATGTGATAACCAGTAAAGGAAATAGTGTTGACAGAAGAAAAATCTAAATTAAATTCTTATAGGACATGAGAGTTTAGTAGTGAGCACCAAGAACCTTCTTGTACATCACTGCTCCTCTGAATCCTACACCTATAAGATGATGTCAGGCTGTACGGTCATATCCTAAATATAACCTAACAGCTGCAGTCCCTTCAGGCTCCCTGGCCTCTTGAGAGTGTTAATGAAAGGCTAAAACAAAGCTCAAAACCCACTATGTATGTCCCTGCTGACCCAACATCCCCAGAGTAAGTTGAAAGGAAGAGAGCCAGGCTAGGGTTCCTCTCCAGATCCACTCTACACTGGGCCTTCACTCCTACCCAATCTTTGTCTCCTACCACAGCAGGAAGAGGAGTGTCAGGTGTAGGGCTGGGGCCCAGTGCCTCAGCAGAAAACTACAGCTAACCTCAAATATTCTGAGGTTTCAGTCTTGGTTTAGCTATTGCTTATTGGAAGACCAGAACACACTGTCTACCTCATTTACACTCAACTTCTTGGTCTACTAATCAGGAAGATTATCTTTAAAACCTCGAAATGACTGTAAGTGATAGGTTTTGAGCAAGTATTACAAGCACAAGGAAACTACGGAGACCACATACCTGAAACCTACCAATGAGCTTGTCAACAGTTAACCTCCTGCCTCCTCCACCTCTCCTGCCATTGCAACAGTTTAAAAAGTAGAGCTTAATGGTGTGGATTTGGACCATTTCCCACGCTTGCAAGAGCAGAGACAGATAGTAACTGAAAGAAATATCCAAAAGACCTAGAAGGCAAAGAGCTGGGACAAACAATCCTGACTGTTTTCCCTAAGGTAAAGTAAAAGTTCTGCATTCACACACATTTTACGTAGGTAAACTCCAAATACCTGGAACTGTCCAGTTGTTACTGATGACAGCTTCATCAGAAGATCAAATGCTAAGGTTTTCACTTCTTCAAAAGTACTAGTAAAACACTCCAGAAGTACTTGGAAACGGCCAGCGTCGATATCATGACTCAGTTGATACACTGTTTGGATGTTACCTTAAAATTTAAATAAACAACAATCAAAGTGCCCAAAGTTATATGGCCAAATACTTACATAAGATCAACGCAACAATTCATACTTCCTGCTTCACCTACAGTTAAGATTTCACTTTGTACTTTACACAACGTACACTGCACAATAGCATAAAACTGTATCTCTTCAAATGACAAATACTACAGCTTTAAAAATATGAAAAGGGATAGGCTTTGAGCAAGTATTACAAGCACAAGGACACTACGGAGACCACATACCTGAAACCTACCAATGAGCTTGTCAACAGTTAACCTCCTGGCTCCTCCACCTCTCCTGCCATTGCAGCAGTTTAAAAAGTAGAGCTTAATGGTGTGGATTTGGACCGTACATTTTTAAGATTTAAAAACATTTTATTCCTTTTCAAAAGGTAAGAAAGATCTCTCAGTTACTTTTTAGATAAACAAATACATTTAGGAACACATCTTTTTAAAAATCTACCTGGGGCTAGAAAGACGGTTCCATAGCTAAAAGCATTTGCTGCTCTTACAGAAAACCCAGCGTCCATATCTCATAGCCATCTGTAACTCCAGTCCCATGGAATCCAATGACATCTTCTGGCCTTGGTAGGCACCAAGAACACAGGAGATACATACATGCAGGTAAACACTCATGTACATAAAACAAAAATACTTAAAACACACAACTTACTGACCCAAGATCCAAAGTCTTAGAGTAAACAGATACAGAATGATAAGCATGACACAGCCTGTGATCTTTTTATTTTGACCCATCCCAAATTCCTAGTCATAGTGGACAATTTTTTAAGAGTTGCTTTTTATTTTATGCATATGAGTATTTTGCCTGCATATATGTATGTGTAACACAGAAGTCAAGTGAGGACATGCCATTCCTTGGAACTAGAATTATAGATCGTTGTGAGCTTCCATGTGGGTGCTGGGACTAGAAGCTGGATCTTCTACAAGAGCAAGAGTTACTCTTACCCACCTTGGTTATCCCTCCAGCTCTATGTACTGCTGGGGTTTGTTTGCTGTAGTATTTTCTCGAAGCTTCTACATCTGTATTCATAAGAGATACTGGTCTACAGTTTTCTTACAGACCCTTTATTTTTACATTTTTATTGCATTCATTCATTCATTCATTCATTCATTTATAGGGCCTGGACACACACATGCATGTGCATGTACAGAAGTCAAAAGACAACCTGTGGGAGCTAGGGACTGAACTAGGGAGGCAGGCTTGGGAGCAAAGGCCTTGCCCACTGAGTCGTCTTGCTGGCCCTCTTACAAAACTGCATTTGCTTTTCTAATGCTTGAGAGGTTGAGTCAGGGGTTATCTATCCTCTTTAGTTTTGTGAGACTGTAAGAAGGATAACTGTAAAGATTTGGTGGAATTTACCAATAAAGCCACTTGTCCTAGACTTTGCTTTAGTAGAATACTTTTTCCATTGTTTATTTTGAGACAAGGTCTTGGCTTCTAATCTAATCCTGCTGCCTCAGCCCTTCCTTCAAGTGCTAAGATCGTAAGCATGTATCACCACAGCCACTTGCTGGGAGGTTTTGATTACTGTTTCAATCTCTTTACTAATTATAGAATTATCCCTTTTTTCATAGTTTTTTTCCTAGAATCAATGTATATTTCATACAGATAATTTAATTTGTTGGTATGTAATGGTTTTTGTATTATTTTATGTGATTTAAAAAAGTGTAGAAATCTTCAAGCAGGTGGCATATGTGAGAAACCACATTTTAACCACAAAGGCTCGCTCATTCATCTTTCATATTAAATATAAGATAAGCCATCACAGTTTTCACTCTAAACTTAGAAGATGAAGCCCTTACTTATAACAGCACAAAAAAACATGGCAGGGAAGCATGAGCATATTGGTGTGGTGAGGATAAAGACCCACAGCAAAGACCCAGGTTTGACATACTCTTGGAGACAGTGATGAACAAAAGGAGACAGCTCTTTTACTTCCCTTCACTAGCTCCTTTAACTATGTACAAATGAGAGCTATGTATTAAAAGGGAATCTATAAAGAGACAATAAAATTCAAATTTCAAGTAAAGCAATACGCTAACAAAGTATATGTTTCCCAGACATTGCTGAAGCTTACCTTCTGAAACAGGAAACACTTCAGCTACTGATCCTAAAATGGTTAAAGCTGAAAATCTAGTTGAGTAGGAAGATCCAGGAAACAATGCTTCAAAAAGAATGTTGCAAACAGATGACATGAAATTCTGAAATTAAGAACATATTACAATTAAGTATAATTAAGTTAACTGGCAGCTGGTCAGGTGGGTCTCCTCAGGAGTAAGCGCTTCTGCTACATCTAACTCAGGGTGAAGGCTGGTGAGGCTGTCCTAGCTGTCTGAGTATTCAGCTTGACTAGTCTGGTTCTGAACTTGCTATGTAGCAGAGGGTGAGCTTTATTTCTGACCCTCCTGTTTCCACCATCTAACACTGAGACAATAGGCATTGGCTCCACTTCCAGTTTATGTATCCCACACAGCTGTGCTTAGGATCCCACAGGACTGTATGCATAGTAAGAAAGCACTCTACCAGAGTGACTCAAATTAAGTCTCTAAGGCCTAATGTTCAAATAATGCCTGTCTGTTGGACATGATACACATGACTATAATCACAGCTCTCAGGAAACTAGGAAAGGAGCACCACAGTTTGAGGGCAGCCTGGGATACACAGCGAGACCTTGTTTCAAAGGAGAGAAAAAAGGAGATCCATAAGCAAAAACTAAAACACAAGCTTTTATAAAAATTTAGAATCTCAATTCACGTGAGGTTTTATGTTCCTAAGGGCTTAAGTGACATTTCATGAATGCCATGTTACTCCTTTCAGAAAGAAACAAAAGAGATAGATAGATAGATAGATAGATAGATAGATAGATAGACAGATAGATAGACAGACATACAGACAGGCATCTCTTCAAACCCAACATTGATCTAAGAGAGGCTAATAAACATCACACTCACTCACTCACTCACACAGGGCTGGGCTCATTATATACTCTAAATCACTTTTAATAACTCTTAGTGAGACTTTTTTTAAAAAAAAAATTATCTATTATTTATTATGTGTATATTCATACATGGGTAGTACATGTCACTGTGCCATGTGGCAATCAGATGCCAATTTTCAGGGGTTGGCCATCTCCATATGGATTCTAGGCATGGAACTCAAGATGTCAGGCCTAGCAAGCCCCTTTACTTGGTGAGCCAAGTAAAGTTTAAAAAGGGTTTTCTTGCTTAATCCTCAAAACCAAGTTGTCCAGAGTTTTTGTTCATTTTGGCAATTTTGACTTATTTGTATGGTTTGGTTGTTTGAGACAGCGCTCACTACGTAGCCCTGGCTGGGACAAGGAGGTCAAGGAGTATGGGTAAGTCAATGTAGTATCTGCTATATATTCATGAGGTCCTGAGTCAGATCCGTGACACATAAAGCCAAAGGTTGCAATGCACACCTGTAATCACTCCTGCATTAGAGATGAGAGAATGTTGGGGGCTCGCTGCCAACCAATCTAGCGCAATCAACACGTTCCAGGTTCAGTGAGAAACCTGTCTCAAAAAATAAGGTGGACAGTAATCAAGGAAGACACTTCCTATGAACCTCTGTCCTCCACAGGCATGCATGTACACGTACACACGTACACACACACACACAGAGAGAGAGGGAGAGAGAGAGAGAGAGAGAGAGAGAGAGAGAGAGAGAGAGAGAGAGAAGGAGGAGGAGGAGGAGGAGGAGGAGGAGGAGGAGGAGGAGGAGGGGAGGGGAGGGAGGGAGGGGGGGAGGGAGGGAGGGAGGGAGGGAGGGAGGGAGGACTGAAAGTTGTCAATCTGAGCCACAGCCCAAGCAGCATCTTCTGCGGTGTGAAGAGGTGGAGCTTAGAGATAGCAACTACTCAAATGTCTGAGTAATAAGTAAACTGGCCCAACAAGAAGTGAACTACTGAGGTAAGCCCAGTTACGTCATTCTGACAGTTATGTCATTCTGACACAGTCTTGAAGTACAGCTTGGTTCCACAACTCAGGCTACTCCAGTGGAATACCCAGACCCAGAAGGAATATATAACTCCCAGCCTGAGAGAAAAGCACAAGGCCAGGATTCGTCAAGGGATTTCTGTTTGCTACCCTCTGGCGCTTACTCACGAGGGTGTGTGTTTTCTGAGGCCCTGCATGTCTGGCACATCACCTACCTTATACCGCTGTAAAGAAACAGAAGGCTGCTCTCTGATGGGCCAGTTCTCGGCGTCAGGTGTGGATTTCCTTTGCTCCAATTTATAAAGTACCTGAGAACTTTCTTGTATCCTACAAAACAACTTTTAAGGAGAAAAGGACATTTTTTTTAAAATATATATGAACCACACAGTAAACTAAAACATCAACCTGCAGGGTCAATAAGGCTAAGAGTGTCTGGATTTTCAAATATTGAAATCCACAGTTTCTTTTTCACATAAAATCAACATTTTATAGTAAACAACATATTAAAAACAATGTATTACTACAACCAGAATTAAACCAGTTTTCCCATTTCCTTTAAATTGGTGTGAACCTGCCAATGATAGAGCCATTTCTATACCTTACCAATTCCTTACCATAGATGTGCTATAGGACTGATTCAGATGAGTTACACCACTTCATGGTGTGTCTCCCCTCACCATCAATGCTTTCTTCACACCACCTGTGCTCTAAGAACCCCGGCACTGAGCTTTTTTTTTTTTCTTTCAAAACAAGTGGGAGCTGGTGTGACAACTTGGTAAGGGTGCATGTCACCAAGCCTGACGACCTAAATCTATTCCCAGGATCCACACGGCAAATGGAGAGAACCAACTCCTACACACTGTCTTCTGACCTCCATAATTGTACTCTGGGATACACACCTGTCCCCTAAATAAATGAATAAAATGTTTAAAATTATATTTTTTTAAGAGGTCAGGGTTGATTTTTTTAACATCCAAATGAAAGACCTTTGTGTGCTAGACTTTAATCCTACAGGTAAGCTTGTTGAACTCAGAGCAAAACTCTGAAGCAAAACTTGATGAAGACAGGTGGCAGCCCAATATCACAACTGTTACATACTTTCTCCAAATCTGGGATCTTTTTAAAAAGTAATTTCTAGAGCAATTACTATTTTCCCATTCTGATGCAAACTTCTACCTTCTTAAGGAGCGAGCAAATCTGCTGTCGCACCCCTGGAGACTGGCTGTTGAGATTGTAAGTAAGGAAGAACTGAATCCACTGCATTTCTTCTGTAGAAACCACTTCTGTGCTTCTATTACTTTCACAAAGCAAGCCTAGAGTATCTATCCGCACCTAAAATACAAGAAACAACACATTAATTTTTCTCTAAAATTAGAAAAGCCTAAAATACTTATAACATGTGATATTTGTGTAATCTACTAAAGAAAACAGTAAACTTCATGTTGCCCACATATACCTCAAAAAGGTTTCTTATTTTTTAATGTCATATCACCAGTGTGTAGATTCATGGTGTTCACATCTTACAACACTGTCATTGTGCATATTATATAGAAAATTGCTAACTCAATGATTTTCAAAATATCTTTAAGAAATTACAAGATATTTCAAGATGAAAGGATATGTGGACATTTTAAATCAAAGTATTTCAATATATACATTCAGTTATCCAAACAGACATATATCTATTGATCTACAAAAAATAAGCCAATACAGGCTACAATGGTTCAAGAACCCTGTGCACATTTTATGACAGGAGAATGTAACTAACATTCAGTAGAAACCATTCCCAACATTTCACATTTTTACTTAGTCTGGGGCAGCAATGTCTGGTTGTCCTGTCTTGGTGTGGGAAGCAGGAGCTGTGAAGAACCAGGTGAAGTATTTGGTTCACTGCAGTGGACCTGAGATGAAGATCTGTGGGCTTTCTACTGTTTCTGTCATTACTGAAGGCCAGCCTTCATCCGTGGTGATCTGATAGGATGCATGGGATTATTTCAATCTTCCTGTATCTGTTGAGGCCTGTTTTATGAATGTGGGTACCCTCGCATTTGGAGCACAGATGTTCAGAATTGAAAGTTCATCTTGGTAGATTTTTCCATTGATGAGTATGATGTGTCCATCCTTATCTTTTTTGATAACTTTTGGTTGAAAGTCGATTCTATTTGATATTAGAATGGGAACTCCAGCTTGTTTCTAGGGACCATTTGCTTGGAAAACTATTTTCCAGCCCTTTACTCTGAGATAGTGTCTGTCTTTGACACTGAGGTACATCAGAAAGGTTTCTTAATCAATACACCTTGTAGTTGCATCCTGTAAAACTGTCTCATTACATGTATAAAACTGAGGCCTGCACAAATTCACAAGCCAAAGCCTTACTTACGTAGTACTCTGCTCCACTGCTTTCTTGTCTTCTTAGTGCTACCTAACCCCAGACCTCCACAGCTCATGTTCAGCTCACACTAGCCAAACACCACGCACCTTGATCAGGCTTCTTGTAAGCCTTATAAATAAATCACCTCACTGGGGCACACTGACATGTGGGTTGTGTCTCCAAGCTGTAGGTTCTTTGTGTAAACTGTCTATGCTCCTACAAGACACTGCACAGACTGAGTACAAGGATGATACTTTAGACTGTCTCCTTAGTAGGCTCCTGACAGTGCTAGGTTCAGCTCAGGGGCCTCTAGCTGGGCTGCTAAAGCAATCAGATTAGCTGGAACTATGCATGCAACAAAAGTTTCCTTACTTGGCAGTGTTGGTGAATTAAGCCTTGCTTTACCCTTGCACTACACACAAGGGTCTCCCAGGCTTGAGTTGCAGACTGAAGATGTCCATGAGCTCTAGCTGTTCGTAAACATGCCATCAAAGCTCCCAGAGCCCCTCTGTGATTACAAGACCCTAAAAAAGAAAAGACTATTCTTGTTCCAAAAGCACAATAGCAAAGACTATTCCTGTGCTATGCAATGACTATGACATGTCAACTTTTATGATCCAATTAACATTAAACTTTAAATTCTAGCATTAATTAAAGTGTTATTCTTAAATAAGAATGACTGAAAATAATTGTCCATGCCAATAATTCCAAGTAAGCACAATTATCTTATTTCTTAATTTAAAGAAATCATAACTTATTCTCTAATACTTTTACTTTTGGCCTTAACACTTAAAAAAATTCACCACAGCCGGGCAGTGGTGGCACACGCCTTTAATCCCAGCACTTTAGAGGATTAAAGGAGGCAGAAGCGGGTGGATTTCTGAGTTTTAGGCCAGCCTGGTCTTCGGAGTGAGTTCCAGGACAGCCAGGGATACAAAGAGAAACCCTGTCTCAAAAAACAAAAAAACAAAACAAAAAGAAAATTCACGGTATGTGAATCAGAGGAAAAATAATCAAGTAGAGAAAAGTTATAAACAATTACACAAGCATAGTAGAAACACTGTAATAGTTCAAAGACTATTATTTCCTTGAAAATAAAGACTAAACCTTAACACATTTTTTGAGTTGTTCCCATTATAAAGAATACAAAATGTAGACTACAGAGACTTGCTGATTTCAGCAGAGCATCAGCTGCTAAGAAACGTACAGGACACAGTAGCTCACAGGAACCTTAACATAATAAGCACAAGCTAGCATAAAAACAGGTTCGTATCTCTGAAGCCTCAAGTGGTTGCTCAAAAATGTGAGAAAAACTGTTAAAAGACTATTAAATAATGGATTATTTTTTTGTAAAGAAATCAAAATTTCTTCTCAGTACCAAGTTAGTTCAAAGTTTCTTAAATTGAATATAAGGATTTTTTTCTTTATTAAAGGGATAATTTATCCATCCATCCATCCACCCACCCACCCATCATTCTAACTAGAGAGTTTCATACAGTCATGGCATGCATAGAACTCACTATGTATACTTAGCTGACCTTGAACCATCCGCTTCTGTCTCCCAAGTGCTGGAATGAACAGACACGCACCACCTCATATGGCTACACATTAATTACAAACCCTGATTCCTTTAGCACTCGAGTCTCAGTGGGATGTTTCCCCCAATTCTAAAAGACTACATAGTTTGTCTTTTAAGTTGTGCTTCCTACTAAACACAAAAACTCACCTGCTTTATTAGACCTGCTAAAGCATTTTTAATTACTATCTCAATCACCTAGATTAAGAAATTATATAAAACACAGACACCATTCCTCTAGTTTGAGAACAAGAGAATAAATTAAAACCTTGTAACTAAGGGGTGGAGGAGACAGCTCTTGAGTTAAGAGTGCTGGCTACTCTCCCAGAGAGTAGCCCAATATCCACATGGCAGCTCATAACTGTCCTTAACTCCATTCCAACAGATTTGATACCCTCTTCTGACCTCCAAAGGCACTAGGCACACACATGTTGCACATATAGACACACAAGCAAAGCACTCAAACACAAACAAATCAATCTTTTTTTAAAAAAACAAAACACAAAACAAAACTTTACAACTGAAATTACTGCTTGGCTTGGTGAAACTACTTCAGCCAAAAATTCCACTCTGCTACTGAAAGTAAAACATTTCAGTCTGAAGTGGCTATCATTAATAGCTTTCCTTACCACTTATAGAAGGGGAGAGGGGAGATATTTAAACATCTGCCCAGAGGCTTATATTTAAGTATCCTAAATAGAAATTAATAGAAAACTATCTTACCAGTTTCAGTATTAATGGATGCCTGAAGAATCTGCACCATGTAGTGCAGGCTCTCGGGGCTGTAATTCAGTAACCTTGGCAAGTAATAGTCAATCACATAAGACCTCTGATCCAAGTTTCCTCCACATAGGACAGAAAGGACAGGAAAAACCCAAGTCTCATGCCACTTGTCCATCCAGGTATTGGTGACGGCTTGGGACTTCAAATGGCTCTTATGATTTTTAAACATGGTTTCCAAGAGGTCACTTGCATAAGGTACCAATGACTGGTCTCCCATTACCTCTAGGATTTGAGATGGAATAGTTTTATCTATTGCCAAAATATGCTCAATTCCAAGACTCTCAACCAAATAGCCAAGGCAAGCATACTTCCCTTTAATATGCCATTCCAACTGCAGAAGACTCTTAGTCAACTCCAGAAAGAAGGGGTCAGTGACTAAATCTGGCCCCTCCATAGTGAGCCGGTGCATTTGCAAAAGATTTCTGAATATGATTTTGGTTTGGTGTCTCAGAGCATCCAGTGGATGTTCCCAGTGTGTATAGACATATTCCAGAAGTCTCCTAGGTATGCTTGAATCCCCATTCAGATGGTCCTTTAAGCTTAGGGAACTTGAGTCAAGGATTTGTATGGCTGAATTGGTCCAAGATGCCAAGGTTCTAGACAGGAACATTTCTAGTGTTGACTCCTTAATCCTGGAGAAAAATAAACCAATGATGTATATCATTATAAACTGCCAAGAAAAAGAAATTAGTTAGCTATCACAACTTTTAAATGCAAAGAATGAACAAAAAATTTAATCAAATTTACAACAACATCAACGAAATTACAAATAAGGCCAAACTGAAAGTGAAATTTTTCACATGAATCTTTTTACTTTATAAAATATTTAAAAAATGAATACAAGGAAACCTTTACAAATAAATAAAATGTTCATTATCTTTACTGTGATGATGGTTTCATGGTTATTCTAAAGTGTTTGTGTGTGTGTGTGTGTGTGTGTGTGTGTGTGCGTGCATGTAACAGAGAGAGAGATGCATTCAACTGAGTACATACGTGCATGCACAGAGGTCAACAGAAGACAACCAGTATCTTCTCTTATAGCTCTTTATCTTATTTCCTCAAGACAGTGTCCCTTACCTACACTGGCCAGCAAGCTCTTGGGACTTACGTTTCTCCACTTACCAGTGCTGGGCCCCAGGCACATGTACAGCTGAGATTTGAACTCATGTCCACATACTTGCACAGGTTGTGCTCTGTGCCACTGAGCCATCTCCCTGACCTCTCAGAGATTTTAAATTTACCTGAGGGCCCAGCTAAGAAAGGCTGGAAAACCATGTTTTGGTCTTGGGATATCTATTGTTTTAGGATGATGAAAATAGTATTCAGAGACAAGGTCTTACTAGGTAATCTAGGCTACACCCAAACTCATCTTGCTGACTCTGCCTCCCAAGTGCACAATCATGACCATCTAGGAAGATGGGAACATTCTGAGGTTGACTGTGGTGAAGGTTGTGCAATTCCATGAACATACTAAAAAACAGAATTGTGCCCTTTACATTTGTAAATTTAAAGTACATAAATTGTATCTCCAACTTGTAAAAATTAGAGCTTTTTCCTTATCTTAATAGTAATGCTTACTGCTATTAACTTGTATTCATGGTCTGACTTTTAAAAATGTATTATTATTTATGTATGATTTATTTATTGCATATATGCACATGTGTACCAAGGTCAGAAGAAAACTTGCAAGAGTCAGTTCTCTCCTCCTACCATGTAAGTTCAGTGAATAAACTCAGATCTTCAGGCTTGGCTGTAAGTACCTTTAACAGCTAAGCCATCTCACTAGACCCTGTTTGACATTTTAAATACTTGCTCATTTCATCCTTAATGGCCAAACACCAAAGAAACTCAGCTCTATAAAGACCTTACGATAACATGCTCATTAGTGAGCCTTTACTGTATAACCTCACTTTACTCACCCAATAAACTAAGTGTTTATACTATGTATGTATACAACACATTATATTACCTAGAATTCATGAAGCTCAAGAAATAGGGTCATGTTTTTTTAAAATGGTGCCATGAGCAAAAGATATACTCGGGAGTTAAGAGCACAAACTATGCTTTCAGAAGTCCAAAGTACAGTTCCTAATACCCATGCCAGGCAGGTCACAGTCACCTGTAACTCTAGTACCAAGGGATCTATTGCCCTCTTCTGGCCTCCATGACACTTCACACACATGCAAATAAATACCCACCACACATATACACATAGTGAAATAAAGATTTTTTTTAATGCTAGCATAAATTGGGTATGGTAGTATACACCTGTTATGGGAGGAGAGGCAGGAAGATCAGGTGTTCAAACCAGCCTTGGTCATAAAGTTCAAGATAACATGAGACTGACTCAAAACAAGCAAAAGAAAAAGCTAGCATAGGTACTAAAGGTTAGAAATGGTTCTTACTCCACCTGCACAAGTGTCAGTATCACCTGCACCTGCATCAGCCTGCACCAGTAATTTCTCTTTTCATCATCTGCTCTTTTTCTTACAAGCCTATTTTATTCTCACATATTTTAATTTAGGATTTATCCTAGCATATTTAACTGAATTAATTTTGTTGGCTTAGTTGTATCCTTCAAATGTCTTATAAGCAAAACAAAATACAAGCTAGCAAAACCAAAACTCACTGTGAACTCAAGGTGAACAAAACATGCACAGTATCCAAGAGCAAAGCCTCCCCGCTTGGGCCCATGCTCCCATCCTGCCAGTCCAGCATAGCAAGTGTTCCATGACACAGGAATAAGAGAGTTGAGGCTGGCACATCAGCACAGAAAAGGCTCCCACAGCTACACTTGAGCCACTTAGGGATCCTGGTGCAGTCAGCTGACTGGAGAAGCAAGCTGCTGATCTGGAAAACAAGAGGTAATAATATATAATATCTCAAATACAAATCTGACTATTCTAGGAAAACTAATGATGAAACAGCACAAACACTGAAATTATTATACTAACTTTTAAAGTGAAAACAACTCGGTCTAAGCACATCCATCTTTTTGCTGCTATGAAAGGTCAGCCTCTGAGGCAGAGAGGAGGATTCTCTTAGAGAGGTTCTGAGAAAAAACTTCAACTGTATTCAAGGATAATTATTTTGCATGATCTCAGAATACAGACATGTTTAATATAAGATTGGGTTAAAAGACAAACTGAGTTTCTAAATAATATACTGAGAGGAGGGGAGGCTGCTAGTAGCCAATACAAAGACTGTGGTCTCCATTACCAAATTACATTCTCCTTAGAGACCAAATTCACTAAAAATTGACCCTCATATGCCTCTTATATTACAAAGAATGATTAAGTATATTGCAAAGTTTATTCTTAAAAAAAAGACTATCAGAATCTTATTACAATGTATTTAATTAGCTACTGCAAAGTTCTAATGTCACAGTCATCACTTAGCACACTAGCACATACTGACACACAGACCTGGAAACAGCCTAGAAACACTCACTCAGGAGTGACTCAGGAACATGCTGGCCGCAGCTATCTCTGTGCAGCTGACCCAGGCAGCTGGGGTCACCCTGTCCTCCCTGCCCTCACTTCAGTTGTATATTTAGAACTATCATGATAAGAAAAAAGACTTCCTGTAAAAATCCCAACTATGCCAAATAAACTTAAAAATTCAGCTAATGTGGTTTAAAAATTGAGGGGCAAGTAAATGGTTTAGTGAGTACAGACATGTCAAATCTAACAGCCTAAGTTGGATCCCCAGGACCCACATGGAAAAAGGAACAAACTAACAACTACAAGTTGTCTGAAGATCCATGCATGCGTGCGCACACACACAGTATGACACATGTGTGCCCATGCACACACCACAAATAAATAACTATAAAATAACAAACAGGATATTTAAATTAAAGAAAATTGATGTTCATCTAATTCTCAGTGAAGGGAAATTCTAAAAAGAAGATGCACTCACCAATCCAGGAAGCTTTTCAGATGGTCGGAACATGGCCTTAATGAAAAGAACCACAGCTAATCCAGATGTACTCTGAAGAGTCTGCAGTAGGTCATCTATGGGGGTTGGAGGGGAGAGCAAACATCACATTTTAAAGAAGGAAGGGTCTGGTGTGGTAGAAAGAACAAGTGATTTGGGATCAGGCAGGCCTCACTAGTGCTAGCCTGACTATTTTCCCAGGCAACTAGATCCTAGACACATTACTTAATCTCCTGGGAACTCAGCTTTCTTTTTTTAATGAGAAAAAATAACTCATACCAGACAAGCTATCATAAAGTTTAGAAGAAAATGAAGAGAAAGGCTAAGCCCAGTACATATTCAGTACATGAACTTCCTTCTTCTAGTCCAACATCTTACTCTTAACCTCACCATCTGTGACTCTAGCACACCTGTGACACCATCACCTGCCCCTTCCCACCACTGATCCCATTGTATTCCAAACACAATTTTTCTTCGAGAGCTTTGAGGGCCTACGTGAAAAATCTTTACCACGTTAATTAGAAACCTTGCTGACAAGGCATCAGCTCAACTTTGTTACTAGCTACACTTTACTACAGCTAAACACTTTCCTAATATAAAAGCTTTTAAATTCCTTAAGAATAGCACTAGTGGAGTGCCATCAATCACTGAGAAAATAAGCTGTCTCTTTAAAACTGTGTTTGGGACTAGAGAGATGACTCAGCAGTCAAGAGTACTTACTCTTACAGAGGACCCAGGTTCAATTCTCAGTATCTCCCAAACGGAGGCTCACAACCATCTATAAATCTCGTTCCAGGGACCCTATTCTGACCTCCACAGGCACCTAAATTCACACGGTGTACATAAACTTGTATAACCACACACAATACACATAAAACTAAAATAAATTTTAAAAAATTTTAAAATTCTGTCCTCTCTGTATTTCACCAAAATCTTTTATTTTTTCAGATTATCAAATTCCTCTTTAACTATCTTGTGAAAAGTTGTCTATAAATTCTGTCTTGATAAAAGTAACTCATTAGGTCTGGAGAGATGGCTCAAAGGTTACACCATCTTTACCTCTTGCTGTTCTTTCAGAAGACCTGGATTTAGTAGTTAGAACTCTAGCTCAGACACCCTCTTCTGGTCTCCTCAGAAACCCACATGCACTCATATTCAGATACACATACACAGAAGTTTAAAATTCTACTTTAAAAAAAAAAAAAAACCTCAAGCAATTTAATTTCCTTTAAATTCCAAAAAGTCCAGTAAAAAAAAACAGAAAAACTAATTAAATAATAAAGCTAAGACTTTTCCTACTTACCAGTGTTAAAACAATTACCCCAGCAAACACATCGAAATCACCATTTCTTACAAAGAAGAGTTCTAAACAGGTCCTATGTTTTGTTGTAGGGTGTGTGAGTGTGTGTGTGTGTGTGTGTGTGTGTGTGAGTGTGTGTGTTGTGTGTTGACATGCACTTCACATGCATTGTTTTGGGGGATGTGTGTGTTGTGTGTTCACATGCACTCCACAGTGTGTACATGAAGGTCAGAGGATAAGTTGTAGGACTCTATTTTCTCCCATCATGTGAGTTCCAAGGATCAAGCATCAAACCCAGGTCATCTATCTTGGTGGCAAAGTCTTTACCCATTGAGACATCTTGTCCAACCAAAGTTTAGTTTTTTTGAGCTTTTTTAAATTTTTTAATTTTTAAAACTGTTATGTATATGAGTGTTTTACCTGCATGTGTGTCTGTGCATCTTATGTGTACAGTGTCCAAAAGAGCAGAAGAGGGCAAAGGATCCCCTAGGACTGGAGTTACAGATTGCTGTGAGCTGGGAATTGAACTCAGGTTTTCAGAAGAGCAGCCAGTGCTCTTAACCACTGAGCCATCTCTCCAGCTCCATGTTACTAGGTTTTAGTTGCTGCTGTTATTGTTTTGGCTTTTGTTTTTGTTCACTTGTTTGTTTTTTAATTTTATTTTTTATTTAAGTTAAATTCTTATCTACATTGCTACACAGAACAGCAGATGAAGAGAAAGGATAATTTAACCTTTTCTGTAATACTTAAATGTTATGTAACCCCTTTTTGGTTTTGGTGGGTTTTTTTTTTTTTAAGATTTTATACACACATATACAGTTAAATATGTCATAGAAAGTGACCATGCTTGGACTCATCATCAGAAAAGGAGAACTGAGCTTCCTGCCCAGAAGATCTAGCTATGGACCTCACCCCAACCGTAGTTCCCTTTGGACTCTGAGTAAACACTCTGCTGACTTCTCCATGCTCTTCAATAGCTTTCATAAATGAGGATCGATCTCTAGACAGGGCAGCAGCCACATCACCTTTTAAATGTCGATATCTTACACCATCTCTTCCTCTATCTGACTTTATCCCTTTATCTCTAATGGGAAACTCTAGCCCATTTGATTTGCAGAGTTTTCTTCAACCAGGATATTGCATTTGTTTATTCCTGTTATGTCCTCTGTTTAATTCAATGCAGTCCTCTGATTCCTACAAACTGGCAGCTAACCTAGAGATAGCACCACTCTCGAATTCAATCCCTCTGCGAAGATAACAGGTGGCAGCTACAAGAATCTAAGAGGTGTGTTTTCTCTAGTTTTCTGTTTCTGTGATTACTGATGCCTAATGCCAACTACATCAATCACCAGGTGTTACAAAAGGTGACAATCTATTGAGTTACTTCATTTTAATTTATTAATTAAATATTCTCATGAAGAGAAGTTTCATTTCAATTAGCTTCCTACTGGTGTAGTTCTCACAGACATAAGAGATATAATGAGGAATCAGGCAACCAGGCCCATAATCAATGGTGTCATTACTGGAATATAATACCACTAAGAGTTCAACATGTCTGTCAAAAATCTTCCTTAGATTTGTTAACTACTACTACTTCTTCTTTTTTTGTTGTTGTTGTTTGTTTTTTTGTTTTTTTCAAGACAGGGTTTCTCTGTGTAGCCCTGGCTGTCCTGGAACTCACTCTGTAGACTAGGCTGGCCTCAAACTCAGAAATCCTCCTGCCTCTGCCTCCCAAGTGCTGGGATTAAAGGCGTGTGCCACCACCGTCCGGCTGTTATAACCTAAAGTCTGTGGCATTCCAACAATGAGGTTATTGGTTTTTCTCCTTTGTACACAATAAACATGCTGACACATATATATTTGCAAACTGGGAAAAGTTCTTCAACCTCCCTTGCTGGACTCATATATTTAAAAGACAAAGAACAAGCAAACAAAAAAATCATTAAAATCATGTGATCCAGGCCCTTTTTCCATAGACTGACAGAGAAGTTCCATATCTAAATTACATGTATCGGCAAAAGCTGACTGGCATGCAGTTCTACCCATCATTTTGAACACTGACACACTTACCATCACTTACAAAATCGGTGAAAATGCTCAGCAAGCCACACATACTTTTCCAGATGGAGGAGCTGGAATCATTCCACAGGTCACTCTGAGGCCCTTGTACTTTCTGTACTAATGTCATGGTAACCCTAACACCTACCAGCAAATCATTCATCAACTGTGTTTGAACAATATGATTTCCAGGAAATTTTCTACAAAAAAGAAAAGAGAGGATTTCAGAAGAAAATTTAAATATAATTGTCACCACCCTTGTTCCCCACCCTAAACCCAGCATGGTCCTGTACCCGTCTATTTGGGATTAAAGCAGACATGTCTCTATCCCATTTGCATAAGCATTCCAGTTACACAGCTACTAAGTAAACTTCTGATACTCTTACCACACTAACCTTACTTACTCCCTATTTCAGGAATGCTGAAAAGAAGAAGTGAAGACGTAACGAGACAAGTACAGACGTGAACACACTGTCTGCACACTCCTTTCCCACCTGCCTTCAACACGCTCTCCTAGACTCTGTCTTCAGACATATGACTAGATAGTTCTCTTCTCCCTAAACTACTTACCTGCGTGTCTATGTCTCTCCTGCCTCTCATACCTCATCTCCTTCTCTCTGGCGTGAAGGACCAATCTGAAGCTTCAGGTACACTAAACAGATCCTCTGACAGTGAGATATAGTCCCAGCCTGCCTACTCTATGGCCAAGTTCCCCAAGACTCAGTTCTTAGTTCTCAGTTCTCTAATTCATACTTGACTCCAAACCCATGCTACCTCATAGGATCTCTATCTCTAAAAATACTGAGATCACGCTTGCCCCCCAGCCCCTCTATCCCATCTGTAAGGAAACCTTGTTCTGTCTTCAAAATAGATCTAGACTCACACCATGCCCATGGCAGTATCTGATCCGGACGATTCTCATGCCTCCTTTGGGTTACAATCACTTTCAACTGGTCTCCCATCCTTTAACCTTGTCCCTCTTGGGCTACTTTCAATAGGGGAGAACAGATACTATTAAAACTCAAGCTAGGGAAAAACAGTTTGTAACTGCCTCAAAACAAATAAAATAAGCAAAAGACCCAGCTATTACACTCTTAGGTATATAATTCTAGGAACTAAAAGCAGAGCCAAGTATGAGAGGCACACAGGAGCTAAAGTAGGAGAACTGCCACAAGTCTGAGACCGACCAGCATAAACGACAGTTGACTTTCAAGTCAGCTGAGGCAACAGAGTTAGAAGCTACTTCAAAAAACAAATAAATAAGGGAGAAAAAAAAGAAAAGAAATAAAACAGAAACTAAAACTTGTGTACACATCAATGTTTAAAGCTGCATTATACAGCAGCCAGAAGGTAGAAAAAGCCAAAACGTCAGCAGATGAATAGACAAGAGTGTGTCATATATATACAGTGTAGTTGGCTATAAAAAGGAATAAAATCCTGCTACATATTACTACATAAATAGGTCTTGAAAACATCCCAAGTGAAGGCAGCCTGACCTGAAAGGACAAGCAGGCTGAGCATGACGGTACAGAGCAGAGCATGACGGTATAAAGCATGATAATACAGAGCATGATGGTACAGAGCATGACAGTACAGAACATAACGGTACAGAGCATGATGATACAGAGCAGAGCATGACGGTATAAACCATGACAATACAGAGCATGACAATACAGAGTATGATGGTACAGAGCATGATGATACAGAGCATGACGGTACAGAGCAGAGCATGATGGTATAAACCATGACGGTACAGAGCATGTGACAACACAGAGCATGATGGTATAAAGTATGACGGCACAGAGCAGAGCACGACGGTATAGAGCATGACAGTAGAACATGATGGTGCAGAGCATGATGGCATACACCTGCAATCTCAGCACTCAGGAGGCTAAAGCAAGAAAATCATGAATTCAGTGCCCACCTGGACTATACAGTGAGACTGTATCTTAATGACCCAAATATATAAAATAATGAATATGAATATATGGATAAACATATAATGAATATTCATAAATTATATGATTTCATTTATATGAAGTATCAAAGATGAACAAATTCAAAGAGACAGAAAATAGGGTGGAAGTTACCAGGGTTTGTGTCATCTCAAGACAGTGAATTTTGGGGGGTGGGAGGGCATACATTGACTTAGAAGCACCTATAAAATAGCCAAGTCAAAATATCTAGGAACCAAGTGACTATTGAGTCTACTAAGGAAGAGGAGAGCTAACTGGATATCCCAAATATTATGTAGACAGTGGCTGACACCAAGAAGTAGATAACGTAAAGCAACAGGAACAAGATAAAGTGTAGGATTAGACTGAGGTCCATCAGATGAAGCAAGAATCTAAAAAGGAGAGAAAGGAGCAGAAAACCTCAGGTTAAAGTGGGCATACAGCTATTACTTCTACTCCACTACAGAACTTCTCTAAACCAGCCAGCAGTCAGGGTTTAAAAGACAAACAGGCATAAACAGATGCATAAGGAACATGGTCATAACATCAATATTTTAGAAGATGCAAAGCATATGAATGACTGGCAACAGACTTAACAGAAGAAGGAAAGATAAAAATCAAGTCAGAGAATAAACTGGAGGTAACCAGAGTTACAACTGCAAAACGCTTACAAACCATAGACCTTTAATGCTGGCTTGATGTGGAGATAAACAGGCGCAGACAATGGAAAGAATGAGGACTCTAAACCAACCTCTAAGCCAGCAGACAACTGATTCTCCTGTGGAGAAGGGTAAGCAATTGTCAATTCAAGTGCAGCCTGAGCTCTCCAGTAAGAAACAAACCTAACAATCCAGCAAGTGTCTGTCAGGAAAACAATGCACATAGATAAAGCAGCTATGCCATAATGCAGAAAGGAGAACTAGGTAAATGTGTGCACCAAAGGTGGTTATCAAAAGCCAAGGTCTCTCTCACAATTAGAATATTAAAGCAAAGATTGGATGATGCTGTTGCCACAGATCTAGAGCCTCCCGGGAGCCATCCACTAGACTAGGTTGGAAACCCTGCAGTCAACCCACCCAAGTGCACAGATCTGCATCAATTATTAATGACCTGTTCCTGAAAAGGAGTGCCCGCTCAGCCAAGGATCACTAGACTTCTAAGGAAAGTTTCTTGTCAGACAAACACAACAAATGGGGAAGGGGAGAACAAAAACTCAGAAAAACAACAGACTATGTAAAACTAAGAAAACTTTTAAAAAAAGAAGATAACTATTATACTATTATTAATGTCTTCAGAGAGATAACAGGAAATTTTACTCATAAAATATCTCACAATCAAAGGTAGGAGACATGACTTTTCTCTTTCTCATTTATTCTCATAATAATGTATTGATCTTTAAAAATGAATTATCATTTGAACACAGTGGTACATACCTGTAATCCAGCACCTAAGAGGCTGTGGCAGGAATATTACAAGTTTGAGGCTAGCCTGGTTTACATAGTGAGATCTTATCTTAAAAAAAAATCAACTAAAATTTAGAATATATATATATACATATTCTAAATTTCATATAAATCTATATGTATAAATTTATATATAAAATATATTATATGTAAATATATATAAACTTATATATATTCAAAACATTAAATAATCAATCCAAATGTGGGAAACAGCACATTCTGAAACCTTCAAGAAAGCTTCCTTTGTACAAACAATTCCAAATATGCACACAGATACGTGCACAAGCATGCAAACATGCAGCACTTGCCTGTTTTCTTCCAGGATTTCAATTAAACTCTTCTGCAGAAAACGAAGCACTGAAACAGAGAGATGACAATGACAACCTGAGAATCAGCTTTGGTGCGGGAACATTTTAAACCATCTACCACAAATGATGTCATGGAGAAGCAGAAACTTCAGGAGCCTGGTCTACTTTAGCTATGTGGAGTACTCTAGTATTGCCAAGAAATTTAAAGGAGTCAGTTCTAAAATGACTCAGAGAAACTGTTACTCCCCAGAGCAAAAGAAAATATCAAGACTTACCATCTTTAAGTAGATAAACAACACTTGCTCTACCTGCAGGTGAAAAAATAACAATGCTAAGGAGTTTTTGCCAAAATGAACATTTAAAAACAGTAATGTAATCACAGATGTTACCTAGGAAAAGGCACTGAGGAAGTGCTGGCTTACCCAGGTTAAAGTTCTCCATGCAGGAAGATATGTTATCGATTACTTTTCTATAAGAATATAAGTCAGCAGTATCTAATTCTTCTTGAAGACGAAGAATAAAACTGTATGTAGCCTGAGTTACAAAAGACTCAGGTAGGCCATTGAGTGAGCTGCATAAAAGAACCAAAGGATGCAAAACCTTACATCACTGGGTTAAGTGTGGAGGGTGAGAACCATACAAATGTTAAATACTGAACCACACCTGCAAAATACAGTCACAAAATTTCACAATTATTGTGACCTCACATGGTTAATATGACCTCACACAGTTATTATGACTTCAGCTCTTATACCCTCACATGGTTAATATGACCTCACACAGTTATTATGACTTCAGTTCTTACACCCTCACATGGTTATTATGACCTCAGTTATTATAACCTCACAGTATAACCTCACAGTTATTATAACCTCAGTTATTATGACCTCACATAGTATGACCTCACAGTTATGACCTCACAGTTATTATGACCTCACATACTTACTATGACCTCACACAGTTATTATGACCTCACATTTATTTTGACCTCACACCACCACCAGTGAAATTCCCTGGCCTACCACTTCTCACCTGTTTCCCTGGCTCCATTTTGCTATTTCTGACCCCCAGGCTGTTCTCAATGCAGTAGCCAAAGCAACAGTACTAAAGCACCATGCAGTCACCATTAGAATGGCTTTACCACATGGTACAGGCTTTTCTATCTTCCCCTTAGAATGTAAGATTCAAAAAGAAAAATTAAACCTGTTTTATTCATTTAATCCCAGTTCCTAGCAATGTGCTTAAAGCACAGTTAAATGTTCAGCAAGAATTTTCTTAATATAAAAACTAAACTAATGTCAAATTTAGTCCAATTAAATTAAAACAAAGAAGCATTTTGTATTTGAAAAGTTCACTGTTTTTCCAGAAGAAATAAATCTAAAAGCTGGAATGTTCTGAAAAAGAAAACTCAGTAGAAAAGTAACTCATGAAAGAGTGGGATTGGTTCAAAACATATACACAAGTCTAAAATAGTCAAACCCACGTTTATATAAAATACATAATGGCAACACATATTGCAAAGATGAAGAGAACTACATGAGCCAGCAGTCTGGGATACAGAGGTCCTATGTCAAACAGAAAACTAAACTGAATCCCTATCTTACCGAATACTCAAAACCAATTCTAGATAGATTTTTAAACTGAGCAAAATAAGTAAGACAAACAAACAATCTAGAATTAAAGGAAGCATAAGAAAACAAGGTACAAAGTTTAGAAATCTATGTAATGAGAAGTATCAGTAGAGTCACAGTCTTTAATTTCCATACAGGCAACATATCATGTACAAGGTGGAAAAATAAGAGAATGCATTTGGCACAATGAAAATACAAGTAATAATTTAAAAGATAATCAAACTCCACACCTTATAAAATGTTCACCCGTGAGTTGGGGATGGGGTGCAGTGGGAGCGATCCTAACATACAGGACCCCCCAGGGAAAAACCCCGTACCAAGAAAAGGTCAACACTAATCATCTAGGGAAAGTAAGGGATAATAAAATAGTATTTCTCACCTTTAGATTTTAAAATTATAAAGACTAGTATCATCCAGTGCCGGAGAGACACAAAGAAATTACCTGTGTCACCCACAGATGTGGAAGTACAATAAACAGCATAGGAAAAGTAGATAACAACATCTACAAAATAGGCCTTGTGGTCAAGAAATCCCACTCTAGAAATACTGACAAATGATTACACAAACTTTGTATATGATAAAGAATATCACTATAGCATTGCCAGAATAATAAAATCTAAACACCAGATATTCATCGGTGACAAGGACATTAAATGAACCGAATTCTATGTATAATGATACACATGTAGATACAGCCAAAAGGTGGAGCATGTACACGGACATAAATGCAGGCACAAGACTCACACACAAAATAAAAACAGGTGAATATTTTTTTAAAGAGGGCTCTCCTGATATGGAAATTCCTCCCTGTTTGTCTGTCTGTTTCCTGAGGGGAGCACATGGGTACCACAGCATCCATATGGAAATAAGGTAACTTACAGAAGTTGTTTCTCTCTTTCTATCCGTAGGTTCCAGACATCTAACTCAGGCCATCAGACTTGACAGGAAGTACCCAGATCCATACAGCCATCTAACTAACCCTCCAAAATATACTTTAGTAAAAAAAAAAATATATGAACTGCAGAGTATTATGTAGAATATAATCATGTTTATATAAATATTTTAAAACTAAACGTAGTACACACATGGTAAACTCAAAGAAAAGGATTTAAAAACCAAAAACCAAAACTACAGTGGTAACCCTTTCCTAAAGAGAGTGAAACAAAGCAGAAATAGTAGATTCCAGCCTTACTTGCTTTGTATACTTCTATATTACTTAAATATTTTATATCACATATATAATCCTGTTAGAATATATGGGAACAGAGAAAAAGAGCAAGATGATAAACTTAAATACCCATATAAAAGAACTGTAGCCCACTGAATAAATGCACAGCTTTTTTTTTTTTAAATCCTATAACCTAAGGTTTTTGCTTTCTAAAGCCCCTCAGACAGACAGTATAGATGAACATGTAGCAATAGACAGACACATAGACACACAGTATAGATGAAATGTGTGGCAATACACTTTGGCTTAATTTTACCAAAACAGTGTATGGACTTTACTTGCTTTTTCTTTTCCTTTCTTCTTTTAAGCACTGAGAATGGAACCCAAGGCCTTCTACCTTCTAGGTAGGTATTCACACTACCATCAAGTGTGTCCCCAGTCCTGGCTATTTTTTGTAGCATTCGACTTATCTCCCTTCTTTTTCTTTACCTTGCCAAAACTTTCTTCAAGGGGTTCTTCAGAGTCAAGAAAAAATAAATGCCTGCTAAAATATCCAAACAACTTTGAATAGTAGGATCGCATATGTTGTTTTTATCAACATTTTCCAGGAAAGGCACAATCTATAATTTAAAAAAAAAAAAAGTAAGGTTTTTTTCTAATGTCAAATAGATCAAACTTACATGATTACAAATATTCTTTTAAGTCATTTGTCTTTTCTTTGAAGAGAAGGATAATAATAACCTTGAACTTTCAATTCTCCTACTTCTCCATCCTGAGTTGAGACTACAGGCATGTCTCACTATGTCTGATTTATGTGGTGCTAAGGATCAAACCCAGGGCCTTATACATGCAAGCACTCTGCCAACTAGGCTACATACCCATTCTGATTCCAAGATTTACAAACCTCTAACATAAACACCTCCCTCTTTACTTCCCAGACCACTTCCACTGAGAGTCACGTGCCTAATGGATGGCAGCACTGAAAATCTATAGCAGTAATATTTAACTAGTTTCAAAATAGGTATCCATGTATGGAAAAATCTAAATGCTGAAAGACAAGTAAGAACAATCTATACTTTAAATTAATTTCCAAATGTGTTTGCTAAAAAGCTATAAGGTTCAAAATTAATATAATGTTTTAAAAAATATCTTCACAAAAATTTCACACAGTTATCTCCTATTTACAGTCGCATGTCTGTAGAAGCAAGTTACTGTTTCTACTGGTGCTCTGAATAAAAGGACATTATACAATGAACAGAAAAAGAAAGACTACCATTTAGTGACAAATTAGCATTAAGTAACTGCAACCAAAACTGTCAGTTAATTTTTAAAATCTATACTAGCATGATAATATTCAAAAAACACCCTTGAACAAAATCTCAGTTTTACCTGTTTAAGGGAGTGGATTTGTAACACTCCATCTCTGAGCTGTACACAATGTAACAGCAAAGAAGCTAGATTTTTCCCTTCGGCATCAGCAAAAGCTAAGGAACACAAACAAAAATTTCAATAATGTAACTACATAGGGATTATAGTACCTTTCTTATACATTCTGCAAAATTGAGAAGGATAGAAATCATCAGCAGCAAGATGGGTGAGGAAGTAAGGCACTTGCCACCAAGCCTGACATTGAGTTTGACACACACACACACACACACACACCACACTCTGCCCCAGAACCCAAACAGTGGAGCAGAGAGCCAACTCCCAAAAGCTGTCTTCTGAGCTCTCCCCTGTGTCTGGGCAAGCACATGCCCACATGTACACACTGTCCTAGTCTGCATTCGATTGCTGTGAAACACCATGACCAAAAAAGACTGAGAAGGACAGAGTTTATTTAATCTCACAAGTCCCAAGTCACAGTCCACACATCACTAAAGGGAAGTCAGGACAGAAACTCAAGGCAGGGACCTGGAGACAGGAACCGAAGCAAAGACCATGGAAGCAACACTGCTTACTGGTTGCTCCATATGGTTTACTCCGTTTGGTTTTATTATGCAATGCTGGACCACCTATCCACTGTGGCACTGCCCACAACAAGCTGGGCCCTCTCACATCATTAATCAAGAAAATTCCCTCCTACCACACATATACACACAGACTTGCCCACAGACAAATTTGATGGAAGAATTGTCTCAACCAAGGTTCCTTCGTCCCAAATGACTCTAACTCCTGTCAAACTGACAAAAAAATTTGCCAGCACACACATATAAATAATAATAAAATAAAAATAGATCAAGGGCCTCTGATGCTGAAAGCACTTGCTGTTCTTGCAGAGAACCTAGGTTCAGCTCCTACATGGCAGCTCACTACACTCCATAACTACAGTTCCTGAGGATCTGATGCCCTCTTACGACCTCTGTGAGCTCGAGATGTGCACATACAGGGAGTATCTACATACATAATCTAAAGAAAATTATTTTTTAAAAAAAAGATAGATACAAACCAAAATAGCAAGTAGAACTCAGTCTAAAGACAAAAAAAAAAAATTCAACAAAACTAGTTTTTATCCAAAACTATATACAAAAAAAATACATGGAAAAATTAAACAAAAAGAATTAACACTATATTCTATAGGTTCCAGAGATTCAAACACTCTGCTTGTAAACCTGCAAATTTGTTCACTGGACAAATAAAATTTAAAAGTCACATACATCTCAAAGTTTCCAGATCCTGATGACAGATAGTCAGTACAGCAAACTGCATTTCTCTTTTCTTCTTCACACCCATCCTAAACAGGATGGACAGCAGATTCTGTAAGGAAGAAGAACTTAAGGCAGTGGTCCAGTGGAGGGTTTCTCCTGCAACACAGTGACATTAGGGCCACATAACTCTTGCTGAGGATGTTGTGCTGTGCACTATGGGTGCTTAGAGCCTCCCCAGCCTGCACCCCATTAGATGCCAGGAATATCTTACTGCCAGCAAATTAAGATGACCAATAGATGTCTCCCAACAATGCCACTACTGGAGGGCACAACTGCCCCAGGCTGAGTGAGAATCATCACTGAGCTAAGGAGGTCAGGTTTGCAAAACAAAACCTGTGGACTTTTTATTTGCTTGTTTGTTTGTTTAGGATTTTTACTACTGTTGCTTGGAATGGGATCTCACTCTGTTGTCCTTAAATTAGGTGCTGCTTTGAAGGAGAGATTTCTTTTGTCTCATTGAAGTATTGGAGAAATTCAACAAAAGCTTTGAGACAGATTCCAGCTTAAGTCAAAAGAAGACCTCTGTGGTCGAATGAGGCATGGGCTACCTTCAGACCTCCTAGGCAGAAAATGACTCAAAATATCTCACTTAAACTTCCGACATAGCTTCCTAACTGCCCCCACTTGCCTCTGAAGAATCCATTCTTGTCAGTCATCAAAGCAATCTTTTAAAAACACTAACAAAGTCTAACCATGCACTTGCTTAAAAACTTCCCAAAGGTTTCCCCTTGCACTAAATATAATTTATTAATTACTATATCCAAATGTGGGTGTTTGGCCTGAAAACAATTTGGCCCCAGCTTCCTCTGCCATTTATTTCAGATGAATCTGTTTTGCCATCTTAAGACCTAAGACTTCCAGATCTGACAAACAATGCTCTGCCCCATACATATGACAAGGTTTATTTTCTATTATCTGGGGTTTTGATTTAATACCACCCAAGAGCTTTCTGTAACATTACCTAAAATGTCATCATTCTGATTCATATACTACTGTGTTATTTCTTTCACAGTATGTATTACGACCTAAAGTTACACTAACTTACACACCTGTATATTGCCTGTTTTTCTTAGCAGTAAACTCCGTAAAGATTGCAATGAATTAACTGAACGGTTGTGTTCAGTATTTTAGTTCTCAACTCCTTAACCATTCAGGCACGCAGTAAATGCTCTATGAAAATTTGGTGAATTCTTAATTAACATTTGCTAGAGATATTATGGGAGGCTACCTGCTACCTAAAAGGACAGGCTACAGCGAAGTGACAGACTGCTCCAGAAACTAAGTAATTTATAGTTCATTTGGACAGCAGGTCAATACAGTAATGGCAAATGAGCAGTCAACCAAAAAAGAATGAACACAGCTAGACAGAGACAACAAGGGAAGGACTTGAAGTTCTGGGTTAAATTTAGGGAAATAATTTCCCAATCGAGCAGCCAGCGTACAAAGTACTGAGGAAGGAAACTGAGGGGACACTTCTGATTTTAAATGGCAAGTTAGCAGCAGTTAATTTGTTCCCGGAGTCCTAGGGACTACACAAAAATAGACTCGGTGTTTCTGCGCGTTCGAGGGATAAACCTGTGTCCTGGTGAACTGGGCCGAAAATCCCCCAGTCCAGCCTGATGTCTCTGCCCGTAGGGTAACACTTGCTGCTTCCCTCCCATCTACATCTTTCCAACTCCCACGTGGAGTTCGAACTGACAGAAAGACAGAGGAAAACGTGGTTAAAGGGCTGTCTCCATGGAGACCTCAGCGCCCGAAGCTACAGCCTGGCAACGCTGAAGGGCCACGGGTGGCACCCTCGGGGTGGCCTGCACGCTGCCCCGGCCGCGCTGTGGAGAGTAAGTCCCACGCGCCAGCGCGCCTGACAGACAGCACGCCCGCGAGCCAAACCTCGTGCCCGGGGACGTCTGCAAAGTGTCGCCGCCTCTGGACGAATCCCGGAAGCCCGTCAAGTGTACGGCGTCCCTGCAGCTTGTAACGTGGTGCGCAATCCACAACCGGTCCCGGCAAAGGGAGCCAGGTCGGATATCTGACAAGAAAATATCGCGAGAGTTGCCGAGTGAGCTCCTCCAATCAGAAGTAGGGACGTGCCGTAACGTCATCAAAGAGGGCGGTTGCGAAGGGATTTGGATAAACCGCGACTTCGCAATTCTTGATTAGCGGTACTGTGATGGGAGTGGTGGGAACTGCGCACCTCTCGCTTCCTTCTGGCTGGCAGGGCTGCAGCCTCCACACCTCTAGGCGTCAGGCCGACATGTCTGTCTCGACCCAGACTTTCTACACTCACTGTGCCCAACGCAGAGACAGGCAAAAACTGCCCTCGAGGACGATTGGGCCAGCTGAAGCCGCCAGCGACGACCTGAACTCCACTGTCCGAGCCTTGAAAGCAGCCTTAAAGGCTGTATCTTTTTCACAATTCACAAACTGCCTTGCAGTCCAGTGCTTTAAAAATGAGTAAGAACTGGAGACCTATCACCTCAGTAAGGAGCTGGGGACAAGGGACAAGATCACAGAACAGACAAGATTCTGAAAAGGCCAAGATACTGGCCCGGGCTCTGAGATGCATAGATGGGGAAAACAATGAAAAAATTAAGTTCATCGCTGAATGGCTTTAAGCCTAAAATTCTTTTCTTAATTTTATAGTACTGTGCTTTGTATTTCTTTGTAGTTCTGCCACATGTATCACTAAACAATAACTTGGTTGATTTTGTGTATATTATTCACATCTTTTAGCATTGCTTTTCAGGTCACCCACCTAAAACTGGGTGATGATAATTCTTTGACTCACTGTTGCCATAATATGCCATTCTCTACTGTGCTGCATTTGTGCTGGTATATAGGGACATTTGCTCTGGAGGAGTCCAGAAGGTGGGGGGTCGTGGGGCCGGGCATGCAGGTTTTAAGGAGGATGAACAGCAGGGAAGCCTGTGAATTGGAGCAGCCTGGGAGGTTAGGTTAGAGGAGGAAGTGAAAAGGCCAGGATACTAGTCTGTGCTTGGAAATGCCTAACTAGGACCTATGGGAAGGGACCAGAAGAGTTTGGAGGGTAGCATAGGTACATATCAACAGGAAGCAGATGTCTTATTTGTCAGAAGCAGGGCAAATAGGAGAAAGGCTCTTCCTGGCAGGCAGAAACCATTTCTCAAGTTCCTGAGGAATGCTGAAAATGTCAGTCAGCAATTCTACAGTGCAGCATGAGCTGAACCAAGACTGTCATTTTGGACTAAGTCAGTGGGCCTGCCCTTTTGGGGTCCCGAATAGTAGCAAACTACTGATAGTCTAGGGGCCCTGAAATGATACAGTCTAGGGGTTTGGGTTGGGTTAATTTTCTCTGCCAGCTAAAGAATTAAAAAGCAGGAAAAAATCTGGAGCACAACAGGTAGCAGAAAAGAAATCTCAAACAATAAACAATCACCAATTGAAGACAATCCCTACTCTCTGATTAAAAAATAAGTATGGGAATTCCTGAGGGTGGTTGGATACTGCTGGCCGTGGATAATGAGATTTACTGAGACAGTCAAGCCCCTCTATGCCAGCACACAAAGAGCCCAGCCCTTGGAATGGACTGAGACTGAACAGAGGGCCTTCAAAACCATGAAAGAGGCCCTGGTGTCTGCCCAAGCCCTGGCCCTCCTAGACATTACTAAACCATTCACTTGTACATGAACAGTGCCAGAGGCATTGTCTCGGGGCTCCTCATACAAACACTGGCAGCCTGGAAAAGTCTGGTGGTGAATCTGTACAAGAAGCTTGAGCTGGTCGCAGCTGGATGGTCAGTAGTTATGAGGGTCATTTCTGCCACCTTGCTGGTAATAAAAAAAAAAAAAAAAGCTGATGCATTAACTTTAGCACACAAACTGGCAGTCCCACATTCTGTTGAGACCCTCTTGGAGCTGGAGGATTGCTCAGCAGTTAAGAGCACTAACTGTTCTTACAAAGGTCCTGAGTTCAATTCCCAGCAACCACATGGTGGCTCACAATCATCTGTAATGGGGTCTGATGCCCTCTTCTGGTGTGTTTGAGGATAGCTACAGTGTACTCATATACAAGAAAGGAAGAAAGAGAAAAAGAAAGGAAGGAAGGAAGGAAGGAAGGAAGGAAGGAAGGAAGGAAGGAAGGAAAGAAGGAAGGAAGGAAGGAAGAAAGAAAGAGAAAGAAAGAAAGAGGAAGGAAGAAAGAAAGAAGACACTCTTGAAGGAAGCACCCAAGAGATGGATGTCTAACACCCAGGTGATCCAATACCAAGCCCTGCTTTGGATCAACCCTGCATTGGTTACACAAGACATCAGCCCTCAACTCTTCCAGTCTCCTGCCAAATGACAACTGCTCGGATCCTGCATGACTGTCTTGAGGTGACTGACCTGATCCAGTCTATCAAACCTGATCTGACTGGTGTACCATTGGCAACACTGGATGAGGCATTGTTCACAGATGGGAGCAGTTTCATCCAAGATAGAATATACAGGGGCAAAAGTGGTGACCTAAGATAGGACTGACTATCTGGGCACAATCTTTAAGCAGGGAGACCTTCATCTCAATGAGCTGAACTTTAGCTTCGCCTCAAGTGCACCACTGGGGAAGACAAAACTATCACTATATACACTGACAGCACATGTACTTTCGCCAAGGCCCATGTGATAGCTCTATATAGAGAAAGAGGATTGCTAACCTCAGCAGGAAGTAAATCAAAAATAGAAAAGAAATCTTAGCCCTATTGGAAGCCATCTGGTTACCCAAGAAGGTGGCCATTGTCCCCAGAGGCAACAGAGTGGCTTACTTGGCTGCCCCAAGAAGGAGCCTTAAAACCAGTAGGGATTTCAAGTCTTGATATCCCTGCCTGCATCCCACTTCCTGGACCACCTGGCGTGGGCGAGACAAGAACTGGCTACCCAGCATAAACAAGGATGGTGCATGGTGCAGGACAGACTGAGAAGACAAATGGCTTGGATCTCCACCAAGCCACCCACCTAAAGACCACAAAACTGGTGAACTTCTCAGACCCAGGTATTATGTTCCAAACTGGGAAGCCTGATTGAAGACACCGCTTTTAGATATGCCACCTGAGCTCAGGTAAATCCCAAAGGGGGAAGGAAGGTCCAACAAGAGATCCAGGCTTGAGGAAGTGGGCCCGGGGAGCACTGGAAATTTGACTTTCCTGAGATTGGGCCTACTGGTTTGGGAATAATTATTTGCTGCCATTTGTAGACACCTTCTCAGGATGGGTGGAGGCCAACACCACCCAAACAGACTGGTCCAATTGTTACTAAAAAAAAAAAACTTCTAGATTTGGACTGCTCCTAGCTTTGGAGTCTGTCAATGGCCTGGCCTTCCATGTCTCAAAAGTGTCTCAAAATCTTACAAAGGTATCAAATATTAATTGGAAATTACAGTGTGTATAGCCCACAGAGCTCATGTCAGGTAGAAAAGATGAATAGAACTCTTAAGGAGACTGACCAAGTTGATCCTGGAAAACTGACAAAACATTAGACCAACTTCCTCCCTATCCCCTGGGCAGGACCTGATGTGCTCTTTACTGGGAGGGGCTTCTTCCTTTTGAAGTTATGTTTGGGAGACACCTCCCAACCTCTCCAAACTCTGAGAGACTCCCCAAGCAGAAATGTTTGACCGATCACCCCTCTATCCAGTCCTTGAAGGTTTTATAGGAAGCTTGCAGAGCCATTGACTGAACTGTGAAGGAGTCCTGCCTCCTGCTTCCAAATCCACCTAGCAGTTCCAGCCAGGAGACTTGGTTTGGGTAAAGAGTTTCCCTGACTCAACCTTGGAACCTGTCCAGAAGGAATCCAATCCAGTTGTATTAGTTAGGGTTTTACTGCTTTGGACAGTAAAACCATGACCAATGCAAGTTTTATAAAGGACAACATTCAGTTGAGGCTAGCTTTATATGTTCAGAGGTTCAGTCCATTATCATCAAGGTGGGAGCATGGCAGTGTCCAGGTAGGCATGGTGCTGGCAGAGCTGAGAGTTCTGTATGTTCGTGAAGACTGCTAAGAAAATACTGACTTCCAGGCAGCTAGGATGAGAGTCTTAAAGCCCACACCCACAGTGACACATCTATTCCAACAAGGCCACACCTCCAATTAATGACACTCCCTGGGCCAAGCATATACAAACCATGACACTAGTCATCCTCACCACCCTAACTGCTATCACAGTAGCTGGTGTTGTCGCTTGAAAAAAGGTCACTGGGAATGATGACAGATGGACCATCACTTCAACCTCAAACCTATTAAAGATAAGACTGACCAAAGCTTACTAACCCAGGATACACAATCCCTGTTAGCCTAAAACCAGGATGTGGAACTCAGAAAACCTGGATGATAAACTGTTATCTGTTGGGTAGACCTCTGCTCTCCTGTGTCCCTTCCAGGGTAGAACAATATGAGTCTAGGGAATGGGGAGGAAGTCAGTAAATCAGGTTGTGGAGAAGACTGGCTAGAAAAAGGGGGTCAGGGAGTACAGTGTTTATGCCAAGGACATACAGTACCTCTGCCAAGGACAAGGTACCTACACCATGTCCTCCAATCACTTGGCTTGCTTGTACTAACTGGATCCTCCTCCAACTCACTGGAAAGTCATACTTCATTTCAGGTATATGTTATCCCCCCAGGTACATGACTATAATGGAGAAGAGGAGACAACTCATATTGGCCTTGACAAAATGTTAACAAAAGACAGATGGGTCCCAATCTGGTCCTGATGCTAGAAGGGGCAGGAATCATCAGTGAAACTACCATAGGCACCCAAGCCATAAGTGTTGGGGAACCAAAACTTTAAGGAACTGGGGTTCCAGATAGATTTAGACATAGATCATTTGGGGAATTCTGTTTCTAGGCTGGAGAGCCAAGTTGACTTCTTTACCGAGGTAGTCCTACAGAACTGAAGGAGGCTGGACCCTCTTTTTATAAAACAGGACCTTGCATAGCCTTAGGAGAAACTTGCTGTTTATATGCCAATCAATCAGGAATAATTAGAGAAAGCTGCCATGGTCAAAGAAAAC